AGGGGTTTATTTAACGTGAACCCGGAAGTGTGTTTTTTTCTGTGGAGAACACCTCGGTTGTGGACGATCGCAACAGGCTTCAGAACTGATTCAGTGTCGTTCCTTTGTGTGCGCCGCCATGGATGTCAGTGTTCAGCTCCTGCCAGTTTGTGTGGGACGCTCGCGGTCCTCTTTCCGCCTATAAAGACCTCTCTGTGTCCGTCTGGATTGTTTTGCATGTCTATCTCAAAAGTGTGCGCGAGCAACCCCCCTAAACCGCGTGTGTGTTTGTGGATGTGTCACAGGGAGAGTAGCGCGAGCTGCGCTGGGAGGAAACAGCTGTCACTCCGTACGTCAGCCATGATCTGACAGATGATGAAGAGCACTAAAGCAGCCCCGAGGGCCGCAACAGTCACCGCTCAGACTGGGACACGTGTAACCGGAGCCGCACACACACACACACCTGGGTCACAGTGTGAAGGTTATTCGGAGAGCCTTTAGGTGTTTGTGGTGTGCTAGTTTAAAAAAAAAAAAAAAAACCCCGGGTGAATTTTTTTTTACGGCTCGGCTCATTACGCCCGCTCACACTCCACTTCCAGAGCAGGAGGTATTGATGGCAGATGTTGATGTTTCCCAAGCTGAAATCCATTTGTGTGTTTAGATTCGAACGGTTTCGAATGCTCGCTGTACTCATCCAGCAAGCATAACAGCTTGTGATTTCCCGAAGACTTGACAGGCCAACACACGAAGTTGGCAATGTTTATCGAGGGCAAAGCAGTCCTGTTTAATTGCGTATGTGAATGCAGCAACATCTCGACATCTGAGAGGAAAAAAACACTCGCTAGCTTGATGGAAGCAGACTGCTTGGCTGGTAAACACATGATGAAATGTATGAAACGGTGAAAATATATGAAGTCAACTGTACGGACGCATTCAGAAAGAATCAGGGTTTAATTTGACCTCAATTCAATGAGAGTCAAATATGTTTCGTCTGTTCACAGATAGGGTTGAAATTTAGGTTCAGAAATGTGGAATTATAGTGGGTGCTTTGTTTCTGACTTGTGAAAATTATTATTGTCTGACTTAAACCATACATTTGGTTTTGGTAGCTCACCATTTACTGTTTGCGTCAAAGTTTTAGCATTTGACTATTAAACTAAATTGCATAGCAACCTTTTTTTTAATTGGTCAGAATTGTGGATCAGGTATGGATGTCGATAATAGTTTTATTAGTCTGCAAGAACAGAAAATTGTCAGATTTCCAAAGTTTCCTCCCAATATTTTGCAACAGAGTCTTGATAAAAAGGTCATAACATATGGTGTCAAATGGTGTAAATCAAAGGAATAAGCAAGGAAAATAGTCAAGATCATGATGAATTGGAAAAACTCTGATTCCGAAAATCTACTCTATTCACATTTAACATGGACTGCAAAGTACTTTATATACTATGATTTTATTTAAAGATAGAGTCTTCAAATGTTAGAATAAAGTAAAAACCAGTCCACAACCAGAGTGTCATTTGGACTTGAATATTGTTGACAAAATTATTTAATTTAAATCGAATTTAAAATGGACTTTATTTAAATTCAAATCCACTTTGGCATCTATTAACACATATAGCACAGATAACCGAACTTGGGTACAGGAATAGTAATGGTTATTGATGTAGAAGTGGAATCATTGCATAATTTGATATAGCATATAAATGTCAGTCAGTTGAACCTCAGTGCAGAGCTATGGACCGCCGAAAGATGTTAGTGAAGACAGCAATCAAGAAACGCCGGAATAACCACGCAACAACCAAAGCAAGCATTCGAAAAAAGGCTCTTGCTACCAAGAAACAATGTTCCGGTCACCAGAATTGGGAAGCCAAGTGAGCTGGTTACCGTTCCACTCTGGATAAAAGAGAAAATATCAAAATATTTGATATATATGATTTGAGGAAAAAAAAGCTGATGGAATTCACTGATATAGAGCTGTCACTGTTTGCCTGGGAGGATCATCCATAATATTAACCATAGCTGACTTTTTTTCTTTCCTCCTTCGCTTCCTGTTTTTTTTTTTCTTGCTTTTTTCTTTCTTTCTTTCTTCCTTTCTCTCCATATTTGCGCAGAAATTGTTACCTCCGCCTACCACCCACACAGCACTTACTCATCCAAAATAACCTGTCACGGCCACCTATTTGGCCCCCAAATCCTCATTGCAGACTAGAGATTACAGCGCGGGGTTGTAACAGCGGAAGCCGGTTTACCGTAACACATACTGCGAGATGCAAAGACGCAGGTACACCTGGTGTCATATGCTGATGAAAGGCGTTTTTTTTTTCTGCCCCTCGATTTATCAAATGTCATTGCTGGAAAGGTCAGCTTTGGCTCTTGTTGTGTTTGAGATAAAGCCGCGCTCCGCCTCCTCTCATCCCCAGAACCAGCTCCCCTGTTATTGCGAGCCCATAAATATGATGTTCTGCCTAAGCCCTTAATGCATTTCAAACTTACCTGACATCAACGTCTCTCTATCTTTTTTTTAACTTGAACACTTTTTCTTTAAGCTGTTAGCTCTTGTCTGTGTGAATGTATGCATTGGCTATGTTTCAGAGCGAGTAGGTTTTGTGTGCTCTCGCATTGCCCTGCCTGTGGGTTTGACGGATGATGTATGACAACTATGTGGAGTCAGCCCTTTGGTGGGAACCCACTGGGGCTGGAGGATGCCCTTGTCCTTTTAGATTTCGCTGCATCTTTTTCTTCCTCTGCTCTCGCAGATTTGGGCTCGCGTTGATCGATTGGCCGCCTGACTTTGAGGCTCCCTAAAAAAACATCCGCTCTGAGCCGGGTCCAGCTTCTGCATGGCACCTGCACAAGACCTTCTCTTTTAATGCAGAGTGAAATGAAACGTTTCGCTGATGTTTTTTTGTTTCCATAATTCAGCCAAGTTTCAGATGAAACGGGATTCTGGAGAGTGAGCAAGGGTTTGTTCAAAACTGAGTCCCTTAGACCACGACAAAAAAAAAAGAGAAGAAAAAAAAAGAAAAGTAGAGCATGGATAATGAGTTGTGTGGATGGAATTCACTGTGAAAGGCTTTGTGCACAATTTTGACTGTCACAACTTTTGAATACTCCTTTATAATGAACGATTTGACACCGCATGGGGTATTGAATGCTGAAATGGGAAACGTGGATTTGGGTTGTGAGCACCCAGCTCCTCTGAATGAAGACTTTGAGAAAGGACTCATTTCTTGTGAGTTTAGTTTAATATTTACATGAAAAAAACATGAACGTATCCTGATAAAGTCTAACCCAAGAAAAAATATTGAGAAACATACTTTTTTTCTGAGGTCTTTGTTTGGTTCCTCAACAGAATGTAAATATATACGTATATTTACGCATTTGATTTTTAATCAAATTGAATACATTTCTGCTAAAATTGTTGAAACGGAAGTGTTCTATATTCCAAGCATTTTTTTTTTACTACATAGAGTAAGTCTCAGAAATCTGTGTATCAAGTGTGATATTTAAGGCTTAATAGAGTTAATAGTTAGGAGTGTTTTTTTCTCAACTGTAAAGATGTTTCTTTGGCATGAGCATGCAGAAGGCTCCAATAGTCACTTTTAACTTTTTATAAACTGAATTTAATATTGCAGAAGGTTATAGATTTAAACACTGTATTAGATGATCAAAATTATTTTATATGCCGCTTTAACACTAGTTGAAATAATAATCATCCCTCCATCTATTTTTAATCCGCCATATTATCTGCTTCAGTAGAAAGCCTCGTGCACTATTTATTTCACCAACGATAGATGTGCAAATTCTTGTAAGCGATTGTGAATGCACATTTTTCTAAAGCGGATACTAAGTGGTGCTTCCACTTCCACCTTCAATTTCATATCCAACCTGTTCCCTCCTTTGGCAGTTTTTTTTTGTGCAAAATATCTTCCAAACAGGCCACAATAAATTGTGGTGTTCATTTCTTTCAGTCTTCATTCACAGCTGACTGACTTCTCACACCAATCACTTGAGGAGGGGGAATATTAAAGTTTGCTGCACACAGCGTGATGGATTCCTGCACTTTCTTTCCTTGACAAAACTCATAAAAAAACAGCTCATACCGCAGGAGCGGTATGATGGAAACATTTAGTGGTTTCGAAACCATGGCTTTCTAAAAGCAGGGTGTATTTCGAAACCAGAAAAAAGGGACATGCCCATTGTTAGAAGTGGAAGTATTTTGGCAGGCGGGGAGCGGGAGAGGTCAACGACTCTCACGTTAAATTAACTTTACTTACTATGAGCACCACAGGAGGACTGGAGTGGTATTAAAATAGTCAAATCCTCCGCGCCGCTCTAAGCCTGCATTACAAACTGGGTCACAGAGTTTTAAAAAGCCATCGGTGTTTACCAGGCAGAGGACATCAGCAAAACAAGCTATTGGACTGTAGGAAAACGTGGGTTAAGATCTGTCACGGCCACTCAGGCTCATCTTCCAGGCCGGGCACGGGGGGGGGCGGCGTTCGGACGTCTCTGTGAGCGACACTCCCTCTCCGTCTTTGTCGTGTGCACTTTAGCATCAACTGATCGTCATAATCAGGTGGCCGGTTCTGCAGCAAGGAGAGTCGATTCCGATCCGATGTGTCTTTTTCTTGCTCCTGCAGCTTAAACTTGATGTCAGTAACAGGGAAACAGGAAATGTCTTCCCTGGCCGTCCGTCCTTCCGTGTTCCTGCTGTTTTTGTTGGACTCTTCTCGCCTCTGTTTATACAGGTAGATTTTTCCAGATGTAGCGATCCCCCCCCCCCAACTGCTGTGAGTTTGCTTTTAAACCTTAGCTGCCCCGGTGGCGGCCTGGGGCCCCTCGGAGCAGAGAGGAGCCAAGAAAGTGTCTGTCCGCGCAGTGTAAACTATGTGTTCGGAGCAGGGCCAGGGTCACTCCGGGCACGCTCGGCTCACCTGCCTCCGATGATGAAAGAGGCGATGCCGGCGTAGACGGGTGCCAAACCCCAGTCCCCGCCTCGCCGAGGAGGAAGAGAAATGAAGGCTTCTTCTGGCGACTTCGTGCGAGATATCTCCCTCTCATTCACCATAAATCTGCCCTGGATGTATAGAAACGTTGGAGATGGCGCCCAGTCTAGAAGTGCTAACTGTGAGGGACGCGTAGCTCCCCCTCTGTCCTCCTCCGTGGTTTCTCATAGTTTAAAGCACGCTGCGCTCTCAGACATTTATAGATTTTTTTTATTGTGTGGTCATGCATTTATGTATGTTATTTCTGCTCCGGCACAGCCTGCCCAAATGGCTCGCACGATCAAAACAAGCTCAAATTTGCCCGAACACAGGTGTTTCTCTTCAAAAAGCACAACAGCTGCATATTTGTTGGTTTTGAGGAAACCCTAAGTTATACACAGTGTAGTTTGTCCCATGCCCGGGTCAGCTGCCCACTTAACCTCACAAGCCCTTTTTGTCAGTTTATTCAGCCTTCTTCCTACGCTTCTTCCTCTCTTTCCTCTTTTCTTGTCTTCTCCCAGTTAGTGGGGGCATAATGCCATGCTCTAAATAAGTTTATTGACATTTGAATTGGCTGTGGATGGCGGTAATTATCCAGTCTTCCTGCTTCCTGGCTGGTTCTCGCTGAGAGAGGAGCAAACGCCTGTCGAGTCGATCCGCTGGCTGAGAAATTAGAATGCAACTTCATGCTCGTGATCTCGAGACATTTATTGGTAATATCCTACCCCTGATATGTGCACCTAGCACATATCAGTGACAGGGTTTGTGGCACCTGAAGTACCTTGCAGTGGTAAATCCCCCTTTACAAAGAAAGCAATGTAGTATGCCTATGTGAGGTATTCTTGTGCGCTTCTTTAAGGCTGAGTGACCATGAATCACTGCAGCACAATGTTTGCTCACCCTTATCCTCCAAGAAAATCTCCATGGCTACGCTTCTGTATGATCAGCAAGGTCATGAAATACTGACTAGGAAGAACTTCACTATCAGACATTTTGACTATGAAACTGTATTTTTGCTCTCTTAACCTAGGATGAGATTTATTCTACTGCAAAGGTCCATAGCAAGGGTTCCATATCAGCTTTAGATCAGGTATTTTATCTTAAAAAAAGAATAAAGGTGTGCAAGAGCTCAAGAAATTAAAGGTACATTTTCGTATTTTTCACTGTAAGTTGAATTTATGATGTGGTAAAAGTGGCTGTTTTAAAACTAGATCTACGTTGGCCTCTTTCAATATTTTTTTTGTAATCCTTAGTTGGGTTTAAGTGCAAAGGACAAAGTAAAACACTCCGGCAGGAAGAAATGCATTAAGGTTATTTGAGGAAACTAACACTGCGAACAACTGAGTGCACAACGTGATTTAAAAAAAAAAATCTGGTTATCAGCTTTGTAACTCAGAACAGAAAAGACACCATTTCAGAAATTGTGCTTAAATTTCCGAGAACAAAATACTTGAACTCACCTGAGAAAACAGTATGCTCTGATCCATTTCGCCCTTTGATGCGTGGAGGTTTTCGCCATTCTGCATCTGCTTAAATTCAATTCAGAATTCGATTCATTAAAATTTTAATTAGAAGCAAGAGTCCATGCCTCTCAGTGCAGCATGGCTCATGAAAAAAAAAAGAAAAGGTTTTTGCCTGGAAATGTCCTTAATGTGGATTTAAAAAAAAGCTGCTCTAATAAATCTGCCATCTAACTGCATTAGATTTGAATATATATCGCCTGATGTTAAATAAAAGTTCATGGGCCTTAAACTATTTTAGGATAGTAGTGTACATAAGTGAGAGAACCTAACTTTTTTCCCCTAAGTTATCTAATTAATTGGGATCTTCATTAAAAGGCCTTTGGCCACAGCGAGCATTCTTGTTTCACCTTTTCCTTTTTATGAATTTTCTTACCTCTTATTAACTGTCTTTAATTCAAAACACCATACTGCTTTGCCGCCCGGGGTTCATGAGTTGGCATAAATGATATTATCCCGTTACTCAGCTTTGCAGCATTGGTGTAAATAGACTCTATTCTCAGCTTTCAAAGTCAGTAACGTCTCTCCTCTTTGGCGGAATGAGGGCCGTGTCCCTGAAGCAAAGCCATCCAGAAAAGAGAGTGATACAATCACTGGACAGCTCTTTGCCTTTAAATGGCTGAGCCTTAGTCAGGAAGCTGATAGTGAGGAATGGAAAAACTATGTTGCTTATTTAGAATTTTGAAGCTCCTCATACAAGTCCAAACCCCAACAAAACACAGGTTAAACAAAAACCATGCTCCAAGCTACTCAAATCGCAGATTAATCATCGAACTCTGCTGCTCACTTTGCCCAAAGTTGGCCGCCCATCTGCATCAAGCTGTTTGTCAAATGTTTGCTGAGACACTGAGGATGTCACAAGATTAGAGAAAGGCAGAGGAAGAAGGATGAAGAAGAGGAGGAAATTGAGGAATTCTAGAGGATGAGCGCGTTTCTGGGCTGCGTGTTGTCTTAGTTAACGACTGGTTCATATGTCAGCCATGCAGCTGTGGTCCTACAAACGGCCAGCTGAGCAAAGGGAGAGACGGATGAAACAGAGAGAAAGAAGGAGAAAAGAGGAAGATGCAGAGAGATATGAGGTATTAAGCCTCAGATGCACATACACACACAAAAAAAAATACCCAGAACGACACAAAACATTTGGGAAGCAGCTTTTTGTGAGGGTGAGCAGTGAAGCAGTGATGGTTAGATAGAGGATTCTGAGTGAAGTAAACAAAGGGAGGGAGAGAAAAGCACCCAGAAGGAATAAAAAGAGAAAGAGAATTTGCCAAGATAGTTTCCATTCTTCTCATCCTCCCTCGTTTAGCTGAAGTAGAAATGGCAGAGGCTGCACTCCAAATCATTACACTCAGCTGCCTTCCTGGAAAGTATTTAATATTGTCAATAAAAAAAGGATAGGGGGAAAGCAGTGGGTAAAAAAGAAGAAAAAATAGCCTTCCTCAGTGAGAAAACCTGAAGTTGATGATGGACATTCAATATTAGCATATTTTCTTTACCCTTTATGTGTCTTTTCGTCTATACTTCCTTTGACTTTGCCTTTTTAGGCAGACTATCCTGACCATCCTGTCCCGTCCTGGCCCGTGTTCCATCAGCTCAGGGGCTTTAAGCCTTTAAGAGCCTCTTTCCCCTCCAATAAGAGCTTTAAGGCAAGAATGTGTGGAAAGCAGTTTTTTGGTAAAGGATCAGAGCTGGCTAGAAATTGGTTCAGGGCAAGAAGAAGCACGACTTGTGCGCCTCTTTTTGGTGCCCGTCAAAACAAGCAGAGTGATTCTTATGGGGTCCATTTTGTGAGGCAAAAGCACAATTTCTTTGGTTGTTTTTTTTCCTTCTTGCCCATTGCTCAGAAATCCTGTGCACACATTTTTGGCACACAGGTGTAAAGTCAGAGGGTTTGAACCCCGACTGCCTACATTTGGATTTAAACATGGTATGATTAGTGATTTTTGTCGTTTTGGACTCTTTGCTCTGTGTTTTGCAAATATCATCGTCAGATGTGCAGTTTAAATAATTTTTTGTGAAATGTAATCAGATGATCATTGTTTATCCTCTGCATTTCTAAATTGTACACCCTGAGTGGCTCTGCATGAATGAAAGACCTACCTCCTTGCTAACCAAACACCTTTTCTGTCGCCCTGCAGGCAGACTCGTGAACAGGAAACCCCACCAGACTTCTTCTACTTCTCCGACTTTGAAAGACACAACGCTGAGATCGCAGCCTTTCATCTGGACAAGTAGGTGAAACGTACAGGAGGAGCACTATTGGAGGCTTTTCTGTGTTGGAACACAGTATTCTCACATGCATAGGCCTACACACTTATCCTTCCCAGAAGTTCAATTGTTATCAATTGCAAATCTATTTTCAGAAATGGAACATTGAATTGGTCGTAGGGGGTTGAAATGCGGAAGGGATTCTGGGTAGTTTTGTAATGTCCTATTGTGTAATTAGAATATGGACTAAATCCATACTTCTCATAGACTAGATAATCCTAATCTGTATGAGAGTTATTGCACAGATTTGATCTCCTTTGCTTCATGTTAAGCACGGCCCCGGCTTAAACAGAGTGGTTTCTGGCAGGCAGAAACTTTGCTGGAGTTTGCATTTCAAAGTTATAGCAGGTGTGTTGTATCCAACCTCCACTCCCTATGATGAAATGCTTAAGGGAAGAGCACTTGCAGATATTCTGCTGCTTAAAAAAACACGCTCTTTGTTTAGAATTGTTGAGCTCCTTAAGACCAAAATCAGAGAGATATTATCTGAGATGCTTCCTAGTCTCTTTCATGTATTCTACCTTTGGGTTCATGAAAGGTTCTGATATATTTTGTTATATTTATTCATTTAATATATTTATACTTTTTTATAGAACGATTTTGCATTGTTTGCATCATGGTTAAAGAGCCAATTTGATGCTTATTGAAAGATGTATAGTTTTCAAATACATACTGAAATACTGTTTTTGATTTTAAGAAAAAAGATTATTATTGTAGAATTTTCCACATAGTAGCAGTACATAATACTTTGCTGCAGCAACCTCTGCCTGAAATGCTCCATTTTAGCTCCCATCTCTTGAAGGCTTAGGCCTCAGTCATTGTTTTCATTGCTCAGCTGAATGGTTAAAAATGGTGGATTCTGAAGTAGGGGCTCATTGTTCTTTTGAGGAAAACCAAACCAGCTGCTCATGCCCATAGTTTTTTGTATGGATGTTTTTCATGATAATCAAGTTGAACAATAAAGGAAAAAAGAAGACTCGCAATCTGAAGAACAAAGAAAGACAATTGATTTATTTAGAGTAACAGTAAAATCTATTTGAGGCTTCTTTTTCAAGAGGCAACCTTGACCCATGGCCTTAAACACAAAAGCCTGTTCATTCCTGTCTTTGCAAACACAGTTATCCAAAGAAAAATTTTAAATGGCATCACTGAAACAGCTTGAGAGACTCAAAAAACATTTTTCTTCCTTGATGGTTAACTGCTTTTTGTATTGTGAGTTTACTAATTTGTCTGTCTCTATGTTGGCTCATTACCCACCTGAGAGGAGAACAGCTTGTAAATAGGACCTCAGAGCAGGTCACCATTTTCTTAGAAGAATCCTTAAATATGTTTTGCATTGATATTTTCCAGATCTAATGTGAAGTTTAGCTTTTATTTAACGCATGAATACTCCTGGAAACTTGCCAACATAGAAGTTCAGGGATAAAAAATACATTTGTGTTGGCGTTGGGCCACATTTCAAGACTAGAATGAAGAAAAATAAAAATCTTATTTGTAGAGGCTGGGGTCAGATGGACCTTTGAACATGAGCAAGCCTGTCTGTGGTCATGCTTATTATCCCAAAACGCCTCAACATCACGCGTGGACTGCCCTTTCGCTGCACCTATGTGTGCGTTTGCTTCTCCCTTTCACCAACTCCCGGCTCGGCGATAGCTCATCCTTTTCTCTGCGCGGGGAGCCTGTGTGGCCTGCGTGGCGATGGATACCAGCCTCGGCTGGCCGTGAGTCACAGAGAATGAATGCCGGCCTCCTGCAGATAGCATCTGACCGAGCAGTGAACGCGGCCCTGCTTAGCTAACCACCCCGCTTTCTGCCTTTACAAGGCTAACACTTTATGGCCCGCCCGCCCGCCTGCTGGAGAGACTTTAATGAAAAGGAAAAATCCTCCCGGGGCTCTCTGATGGACGAGAGCAGACAGCGAGCTCGGAGTCGGCGTTGCTATTCAAGTCGTGCTGATACGGCTGTGGCTGTGTGTTATTGTGAGTTGTAGATGCGGGTGTTTCTGCGTGCTGACACGAGATGATACGGGGGGTCACCGGCTGTGACGAGCGGGCGCAGACACAATAGAGGGTAGTGATGATGCTGAATCCGCTCTTCCTCCAGGCACAATGACACAGTTCATCGGCAGTTGCCTTTGCAGTGGTGTTCTTCTCTGGTCTGCAACACATCTGGTCCTCCTCTGTACACACACGCACACACACATGTGTCAGCGTGTGTGTGGGTTAAGAGGAAGAGGAGGAAAACCAAAGGCATGAAAGGCTCTGTGCCCATACTAAATATAAGCAAGGCCGGGGTTTGCCAAAAGCAGAGCTTCTTTTTTTTTTTTTTTTTTTTTTTTTTTTTTTTTTCCCCTCCTTATTTTTGTCTGTTCTAAATTAGAGCCTGTCCAGAGAACCGCTGCTGCGGCTGCTGCTGGTGCAGAAGCTGGAGGCTGCACTGCCTCCCGGGAGACCCGCAGAAAACACAGGGGCTCTTTTTAAAGCGGCCCCGCTCCTGCACACAGACGTCCTTCTCCCCCCTTGTGCAGGCCGCACCTTTTTTTAAGCGTCATTAATTGCGTGATTGAATTTGACTGGGCGGAACTCTCGCTGCTGCTGCGTTAGGCAGTCAGGAGATATGAAGACGCACAAGGCCCGACATCGCCTCAGAACGGTAAACAATACTCCCGTTCGACGTGACTCACAAACGTGCCGTAGGAATGCCAACTGCCGGAACAGGGCCCGCAAAACGTTCACCATTACACAGCACCGGACCCGAACTAAATCACAGTCCTGTGTTTCTCTGTCTCTGCCATTAGGTGCTGTCGGGGGTATCAATTTTTAAAGGGCCGGTGCTGCATTGGCTGGTATTGAGGGCAGAGGTTGTGCATGAATAAAACAGCCATGGCCCCACGCCATCTCTCACAAAGACACGGCCGTATTTAATTTTTTCTTCCACATGCCTTTCATGCATACATATCACCACCGGTGCTGGTTTGCGGTTAAATGGGTCTTGGTAACTAAATCGCGGTAGCCTCGTTAAAATGGAATACTATAGATTTAAGTTTCTGCAGTTTACAGCCTTTATCTCTGAATATACCGAGCAAAAGCGAAGCACAAAGCGGTGCAAGAGTTGCAAATGTGTTTGATGTATCATCAAAACCACAGGGAGGTTAACCGCCATGTGGCGGGACTCTCACTTCCTTGTTGATACCACAGTGCCTCCTTCTGGCTCTGACTTTAAATTACACAGTCCTCACCATGAGTGTTGAGTTGGCAGACATAAAGTTGGGGATTGCTCTATTTGACATGTAAAAGCTTTGCCATATTATTTCAGTTCTTTGGGGTTTGATTTGAATACGAAATCAAGGCCAGTTAATGGGGTTTTGACCACGACTCAGATTAAACTACTGGTTTCCAGTAGTATAAAATATTGAGTCTGTATCCAGAACCTGATCTTTCAGTATTTGTGTCCCTCCAACAGGATCCTGGACTTTCGTCGTGTCCCTCCCGTCGCCGGTAGGCTGGTCAACATGACAAAGGAGATCCGAGACGTGACCCGAGACAAAAAGCTCTGGAGGACCTTCTTCATTTCACCAGGTACACCATGACATCAGGGGAAGTTACTGTGAATAACACCCAGACAAAGCGATTATTCTCCCGGAGAAAAGAGACATGCTGCAAAAAAGATGAGTCATTTCCACCCATCCTGTTTCATTATTTCTTGTCAAAAAGCAAGATCACCGAGGGAGATTTTTGGGCCAATTCTCAGAAGGAAAACTCAGCAGAGTCCTCTAATTTTATGAACGGCAAAGAAACCTTGTCTGAATTACTGGGATATTCAATTCCATGAGAAGAAATAATATTCCACTGCCAGAGCAAGACAATTAATTAGCAGTACGACTTTACTCTTTATGTCATACACTTAAAAGAAATTCTCAGACGATTAAAATTACTGGCATCTCAGCAAGTATTACAGGTCAGTGCATGTCCCCGGGTAATTTCATTAGTGAGCTTTAAAGTCGTGGGGGGTAGACGACAAGGGTAAAATGTGTCATAGTGACCAAAGCGGCTTCTGTCCTGTCCTCAACAAACTGTGTAAAAAAGCATCAACAGCAACATCTGCCTTTCTCTGACCCTCAGCCAACAACGTGTGTTTCTATGGAGAGTGTTCCTACTACTGTTCCACCGAGCACGCTCTGTGCGGCAAACCGGACCAGATAGAAGGATCCCTGGCCGCCTTCCTCCCTGACCTGGCCCTGGCCAAGCGCAAGACCTGGAGGAACCCGTGGAGACGCTCCTACCACAAACGCAAGAAGGCAGAGTAAGAGCCAGGCAGTGGCTGGACGGGATGCAGGGTTTTCTGTTTGGCGTGAAATATTTCTCTGAAATGCATATGAAGTGCGTGTATTCTGATTAGAAATATGAACCTCTTCAGATGGGAAGTGGACCCCGACTACTGTGAGGAGGTTAAGCAGACGCCACCGTATGACAGTGGCACACGACTGCTGGACATCATGGACATGACCATCTTTGACTTCCTCATGGGTGAGTTCAGCGGGCAGGCTTCGTCCTCTGAGGTTTTCTCCTCTCACTGGTCTCATTAACGTTCCCTCACCCATCAGGAAACATGGATCGTCATCATTATGAAACTTTTGAAAAGTTTGGAAATGAGACCTTCATCATCCATCTGGACAATGGCAGAGGGTAAGGGAGTACATAGAACAAAATGCACCGGCCTCTCACACTGAGGCCGATTCAGTGCTATTGAATAATACTAATCCATTAATTAGACAGTCAATACTATGCTAGTCTATATATTATTTCATATTCTGAGAAGCTGAAATACCAAAATACATTGGAAAATTGGCGTCTGATTTAAGCAACAAATAAAAAACGTGCACTAAACAAACCTTCAGTTCAATGCACAAACACCGCATAAGATGGATAATAATGACACAATAATGACACAATAAAGACACAATGACACAATGTCAAAAAGCCTCTTTATCTGACATTGTATTTATTTCAATTTAGGGCTTGTCAAGGAAAGATTTGGCTTATATCCTGATATGCAAAACCATACACAGATCAAACACAGTTTAGCAAATTTAGGCATATTTAGTATAGACACTTGATAGGAAAAATGTGAGCATGGTAAGCCAAATTTGTTTATTAACTTATTTTTTTACCCTAGCTTTGGAAAGCACTCTCATGATGAGCTGTCCATTTTGGTGCCACTGACTCAGTGCTGCAGGTAAAGTCTTCCTGATTTTGTCCTCATGTTTGCTTAGAGGAGAGGTGTGATAACTAGATGGATTCTTAAGGAAAAAAAAAGTAAATAAAAAACAAACTGTTGGTTTTGTCAAAGAGGTTCGACCACAGGAGGCCAAACTGACTTCCTCTTTTCCTTGACCACTCTCTGACTGTAGGGTCAGGAAGTCCACCCACCTGCGTCTGCAGCTGCTGGCGAAGGAGGAATACAAACTGTCCACGCTGATGGCAGAATCCCTGGTGAGGGACAAGCTCACTCCCATCCTCATCCAGCCCCATCTGAACGCCATGGACCGACGACTGCGCCAGGTCTGTGCTCCATGCTGAGAGTGTGTTCAGCCTTTTATGGAATCTCTAAGATCAATCTGTGGTGGATTCAAACCCAGTGATGGCCCAAAAAATTGAAATATAACATAGAACATTCTCCTACATCTCACCCTCAAGTATAGTATGAGCCTATATTAATTATTAGACAAGTTTAGATTCATGGAATTCATGCCAGGGCAATGCTGCCCCCTGCCTGTTTTTATGCATTTATCATTTAGCTTATCAAAACAAATCAATTGCCTATTTAGCTCATTTAGCTTATCAAAACAAATCAATTGCCTATGAAGCATGAACTTGAAGCATGAACTTTTACAAACAGTAACCGGTCAAACAAATTTGACCAGTTACTGTTTTGTTTTTTTCTAACTCTGCATGATTTTCTGCAAGCGAGCAGAAAATCATTTAGCACCCTTTTTCGCAAACAAAAGAAGATCCATTTTTTACCACTGTATCCAAACTTCTTTCCTCTTGGGCCCATATAGCTAGTTTTTTCAAATCTATTATTCTTCTGAGCGTCATTTAGTTCACCTCTGTAGCTTCAATTGTATTGGACGAGACCTTTATAAATGACTGAGGATTTTTTTATTCAGCAGCAGCACTGCTCCTGATGAGTGTTGACATGCAGCCAGATAATGTTTGATCCAAGACTGGATTCTGGACATCATCCACATTGCTTGTCATTTCCAGACTAAGCAAAGCTGTCTGCCACTTTCAGATTTTACAGCTTTAGACCTGACATTTTCATTCTCATTTAAGATGATTGAGATTCAACGAACGAAGACAAAAAAAAGTATTCAGTATTCAGTCTCACCTTGAATAGTACCTTTGACTTTTCATTTTAAATAAGTTTTTTCTTCACCAGGTGCTCCAAGTTCTTTCTGAATGCGTCGAAAAGGAGGGTTACAGCTATGTGGTGGAGGACGACCTCCAGGAAGAGCAAGAGATGGACCGCGCCCACACCGGCCCGAGGCAGAGGTAGCTGTCCGCGGGCGCTGCTGGCTGGACACTGAACTGCCCCTCTGGAAGTAAGACAGAGGACTGAGCTGAGTTTCCCCAATGCAGATGAGCCCAGTCTTCGCTGAGTTCCTCTGGATGTGCCGGGAAAAAGCGCTCGCAAGCTGTGCAAAGACGGAAGGCCTGCTGGATGGGACTGGACTCTGACCAAACCGGCCAGTGACTTTTGCTGCGCTGATGCTTCGGCTTGCAGGCTGGACCATCGAACATCACCTAGACTCCTTAAAACGTACAACCCCGGACTGTAGCGTAGGATAGCATCACCACGGGAAAACCAAACCCCTGCCGGCACACCACCGCAACCGGTCTGTCAAAGACTCTGTCTGCTCAAGGACCCCTTTTTTTTAATTCAGTGACTTCTCGGGGCCTTAAAAAGACCCGCTCCACTCTTCCCCCAGCTCATTCAACCGAATCTACTTACTGTTAGAAATGCAAGTGTGTTCGGTGAACGCTCGCGACGGAACCATAGGAAAAGCCGGAGTCTGTTTGAAATGCTATTTTATTATTTTTAATTATGATTTTTCTGCAGAATTTTCTGTTGCGTTTTGGTGTCTTTTATAACTTTCCTTTGCTGAGATGTTTCAGCACTTTGTCATTGGTACACAAAACGGAGACAATTGATTGGAGTGCAGGTTTACTCCTGGATAATTATTCCCAAAACTGTTACATGTCCTCGAGAGTATTTATTAAAATACATATTTATTGTTTGAAATGAATGCTAGCAAGTAACGCAACTCGGATCCTCAGTGATAACAAGCAAATCAGTTGACGTCACAACTATGTACTTCTTTTTTTGTCCACACGAGGGCAAACTGAGCATGTGCAAAAGTGTCGGTCCAGTACAACCATCCCACCTGTTAGAAATCGGTTTATTTCCACTACAAATCTTTGCCTGTGTTTACGACTTGTCGTCAGTTCCCAGCTGCTGTTCTCATTCCCTTCAGTGCAGCAGATATGAGGTCAGTTTTACGCTACCAAAAGCCAAATGTGTCGTTCATACTTTTCTATTTTTGTTCCTTTGTAATGTATGTAATGTCCAGATGTTGCTGTTGTGGAGAGATTATTTTTCAGGATGTACATTTCATTCAATGCCAACAGCCGATGGCTTATGCTGTTGGCGTCAATGATTCAGTCGCAGACTGATAATTAATATATACAGTAGGAAAATCTAGTGCCTGTGCAATGATAGAAATACTTGAATGTCTGGTTTTGTTAGCGGGAAAGGTACGAGCTATAGATAAACGCAGAGGTCTTCATGTGTGTACGTGCTGACTCCGTCTGTTCCATAAAGGTTTTATGATCAATTCTGAGTTTCCATTGTCCCGTCATGTCCGGGCCGTACAGTGTGCATGGATGTGTGGGTGGATCCACAGAGAACTTTAAATGGTGTTCCAGACGTGCAAATACTTCTTTCTTTTTTTTTTTTAAACTTCAACTCATGGTTTCTGTGGATTAAACTTTTTCATTTCTTTGCATCATGGTAAAAGTGCAATAAAACTAAATGAGCATAATACAACGGCGTGCCTGAACTCCTCATTGAAACAGACAAGCAGAGGCGAGATCTTCAGCTGGGTTCATCCATCAGTCGGGCAAATGTCTACCTGACATTAGAAGGTGGTAAGAAACACAAGATGTTTTTTTTATTCATAACACTTTGCATTTAAGAAATCAACAGAAATGAGACAACCAGTGGCTGCACTTAGCTGCAAATCCTGGAGTCTTTTCAGCAGTTTTGTCAGAAGGTGTTGTGTTCAGAGGTGTACATACCTTGACAGATTAACTTCCTGAGACCCTGCATCCTCATATCCAGAGCATTTTGGCCTCTCTTCACCATTGTCCTTCGTTGTTTTGGTAGAGACTATCAGACACAAATGTTTGAAATCTAAAATAGAGTGATTTTTATACACTTTCCACCGTGTCAAGTTTCAAACGTCTGTATTGTGTAAGTAAGATTTTGTTATCAAGTTATTTTGATCTTCATTACAAAGAAAACTGCACAAAATAAGCATTTTATATAAAAAGATAAAACAACTGTCCCTGTATGAAGACATAATAGATTGTGTCCTCGTACAGGGACATATAAACATATTAGGTCCTACTAATGTCATATATCTTGGCGAAAGAAAAGAAAAATACACACCAAATAAAGAGCTGGGGTCTCAGGGGGGTGCGGTGGCAGTCAGGATGGCTTCTTACTGTGGAGTAGAAAGGAAAATGCCCCTCAATCCCAGATCTGCACACAAATGTGTTTACCATTCTCTGTGCTCGGTTGTGTTTTGATAACCTTTCCTCACATTACAGCCCCCGGAAAAGCTCCTCGGCTGGTTTACATAAATGCCTGCGCACGCACACACACACACACACACACACAAACACACCCCGAGAGGCAGACAGACCGATGGATGGAGGAAGCATTGTCTGAGACAACCATCTGAGGGACAGAGAGTGACCAGGGGAGAACTGAGGGCTGTAATAGCTGCGGCCGGCTGCAGACGGGACTCCAGAGGAAGCCTCGTCATGGGAGCAAGCCACTGGAGGAGCGGGGGGGGGGGGGGGGTTTTCAGATCCCACCTCATACCAACCTGATGCAGCTTTCCCCCCTCTGCTTGTCCTGTGTGCTGTGTTACATGAATCAAAGTGGTTTTGTTTTTTTGCGGAGACAGCCGGACCACCTGAATGAGCTCAAAACGCTCGCGCAAAATACATAGAGGGAACTTTCTGTTGATCTTGGGCAAAGCTGATAATTTTTGTGCGGAGTGACTGGCAGAAAACACATGAAAATACATGAAAATACATACAACTCACAGATTGCATTTAGCATTAACTTGCAAAATGAAGTAATTTTCCGGGGAAAAAAGACTCCACTCCTAGAGATGCGATTAATAATTTGATGTCACTCTCATACTTTCTTTGTACTTGTGCATCTAGCGGGGTTGTTTCCAAGGAAACGGTCTAATAAATTCCTTATAAGACGGGTAAAGAGTCGAGGCTCTTCACTAACTTAAGAGGACCCCGACATCCGTCGGATTTATCCACCTTTTTTTTCCTCATAGCGCTATTCTGGCTCTGTAACCGAATGCTGGACCCAGGTTTCGTCTTTTGGCCCGCCACTAATAATGATCACAGCGCATGCAGAGATTTACAGCGGGTCCTCTCGGTGACTCCAGCACCGGCAGGGCCACACACCGAGGGCCCCGCAGACCTCGGGCTGTTTGTCCCGGCTTCTGCAGCCTCACGGGAGACTTCCAATTGCCCCGTTAAGAGCCCTTGAAAATACACATCCCCCTATTTTATAGACACGGAAACAATTTGCGGCCATTATAGAGCATTATAGATAGCATCTACAAAACTTCCCGTTGTTGACTAAACGTCTGCCAGAGTGGACACACACACACACACCCCAAAGAGCTAAGGGAGAGAAAAAGAAAACAAAGATGCAAAGGACTTTGTTTGTTGATTCAGAGTTAGCTGTTTCAAGTACAGATAGCAGAGATTAGGCCATAAAAAAGAGGCTAAATAAAACATGAAGGAGCCCATTGGACCACCCAGAATCCTGATGGCACGGCGGTGGGGCGGGGAAGCGTTCTGTCCAGCATGCCTGATATGGGCAGAGATGAACAACCGGCCAAGACTTCATTGATACTAAATGTTTATCTAGAAGTCATGGTGCTGCCCGGCTGTTTAAAAGCCTTCTGAGGCTGTGTTTGAAACTCTGTCTCAGATCCCAGACAGGAAATGAACACGACACCAAGTTGTGTCCCTCACTTTTCTTCATCATCATGAAGCCCATTCACACAATGGGACAAATGCGTCAATACTTCTGTGGTTTAAATCCAAGGAAATCAACTTTATGGCATCCTTTTAAGATTGCTGAAACATTCATCGGTAAAAACACCAGCAAACGGTCGGCAGCTTGGTCAGTCTGCAGCCCGCGATGGTGCACGTTTAGAGCCAATGGCTCTGCTCATCCATTTAATGAACACTTCTTGTTCTGGATCCAAGTAACTGCTGGATCTGCATCAACCATATGATCGTGGCGGGCGCACGGGCCCGCCGCGCCACAGGATGTGAGCTGGAACTCTGGCATATGTGCCAGCCCGTAAATGGTGTGGAACCAGGCCTTCAAAGTCCCTCAACAGACAACAAGCAGTCGCACGCTTTCCACAGTTTCTGACCAGTCAGACTGTGTTGGAGTCCTTAACAAAAACTCTGACTTCTATGACATTTGACATTCGTTTTTTGGATGTAACAAGCAAAAGTCTGCATACCTATGTCTTAAACATGTTTTAGAAAGCTTATTTAATTAACTGAAATGGTCCTAAGGCATTGGCAGTAACAAAAATGTTCAAATTAAAGAGATAAAGTAAGCACTTAATCACAAATAAATAACAAAGCACTCCGTGTTGTTACTTACTTGTTTGTGAAGGAATGTTCAAAGACCTCACCAAGTTGCCTTCACGTCTCTCTGGAGCAATAGGATGGAGCTGGATAGTGATCCTTGAAAGCCTATTGAAGAAAAACACCTTATTTAAGACTCAGAAGTAACTCTAGATAGAGACACGGTTCTATATTAAACAAAGGCTATTCTGCTTTCTTTCTATTCTTTCAATGTCAAACTCCACGGCGGATCTCTTCACTTATCATATTCTAAACAGTGTAACAATAGTTTCAGATAAATGTAATGCAAAAAAGAAATATCAACTCTGGGTTTCTATGCATACCTTATAACATGTTTTAGCGTACAGAAATGGTATTAATGGAGAGATGTTGAATATTTGAGGATAACTGAGTACCTTCCCAACCGCTTCATTTGTATGTAACAGTGGGCTCTTTTCAATGAGGACATGCTTTAGTTGAAAAACACATCTGTAATCAAAATCTATCATTTGGAGTTGGTGCCTGAACACTAAGAGTGAGTCTAACAGCTCACTGACCCCAGAGAAGAGCCCTGTAACCTGAATTTGTGAAAGCAGCTGGGACAAGGAGGGGAGAGGGGAGGGGGGGGTGTGTGTGTGTGTGGGGGGGGGGGGTTGTTGGAGGCTGCCGTGATCACAGAAAGCGTGGAGTGAGTGTCAGCTGGCTGAGCAGAGCATGGTGGTAGGGCAGAACAGAACGACGGGCTCTGGCTGCTGGGATTTGGAGCCAAACAGTCTGGATCACACGCCTGAGAGTGTAGAGATGTTCGACAACTCCCACTACCCCTTCAACTGCTTCAACTACGACGGGGACGGATATCCTTCTTCCAGCACCGATGAAGAGAAGAAGATCTGTAGGCCCGCTTACAGGTAGGTTTGAGCTCCATCATTCATTCATATTTGCTTTTCTCTCACATGAGTTTCACTCTGTTTCTTAAGCTGTCCTCAAGCAGGAGAAAGAAAAATCTAACCTGAGAAAACCAGTGACGTTTTAAAGTTGTTCACTTTCTTATCTTCAATACAAAAATAAAATAAGCTCCAAAAAACACAATGATTAAAAGTTGTGTTTTTTTTAATCATTATTCAATTATTGGAATTATTTATCTACATTTGAATTAAAATATGTGAAACCAAAAAAAAAAAAGATAATGTGATTAATACAGACAACCAAAATGTGTTCTGTCTAGAAATATTTTTTGCAAGATGTCTACATGTTATTTAATTTAACATAAATTTATTCTCAGAAACAATTAAAAATGGGAATCTTAAATGAGTGCTTGTGTACATGAATTGTAGACTTTCTTTCAAACCAGTGGAACCATAAAAAAATCTATTTCTGCCACTGAAATGTCCAAAGCCTTCGATTAAGATGTTTAATAAAAGATATTCTGAAAAACAAATGAAACCATTTAAAAACTATGAGTGTAAACATAAAATGGTCTTACCGTTTGTAACAAAATCTTTAATCTTGCTCCGGTTTGTAAACCTGATCCATGTCTGTGTGTCTCTGCGCGTCAGCTACATAGCTCTGATAGCCATGGCCATCCAGCAGAGTCCCGAGCAGCGGGTCACTTTGTCGGGCATCTACGAGTTCATCATGAAGAGGTTCCCTTATTACCGCTCCAATCAGAGAGCCTGGCAGAACTCCATCAGGCACAACCTGTCACTCAACAGCTGCTTCATAAAGGTAAGTGCGCACAAAAGCAGAACTAAACAAAAAAAGAAAAGAAGAAATGAATAAGAATTGTGTAATTTTTCATGGAACAAATTCATGTAGTGTCATCACCATCTACAAAAGCATATGTACATATATACACATGTCTATGCTTATGTATAAGGAAGTTTTTGTTCTTTTCACACAGGTTCCCCGAACAGAGGGCAATGAGAAAGGAAAGGGAAACTACTGGACTTTTGCCACCGGTTGTGAATCCATGCTCGATCTGTTTGAAAACGGCAACTTTCGGCGTCGCAGGCGTCGCAGGAACATGAAAATTGGCCTCCGGGACACGCGAGAGACTTCCCTCCATCCGCTGGAGAGCCACGGCAACCCCCACGCCCCCTCGGTCCGGCCCCCCCACGAGCTGGACTCCCCCCTCTGCCCCCTGAACCCCGACCGGCCTAGACCGGGCCCCCAGCAGAACCCCTTCGTCCCTAACGATGTCCAGCAGGGCAAGCCGGAGTCAGAGATTAAGTTCAGCATTGACTACATCCTCTCCACTCCGGACCCGCTCCTGCCCGGTTTCAGGTCCACTCACGGCCCCCCACAGATGCTGCCCACGGGGCCACCGCTCCACGTTCTGGAGTCCCAACACCTCAACCTGCACTTCTGGACTCTCTGAGAAACATTAAGCTCCTTCTGCCGCTTCACAATGATCTGCACCTCCAACTGGGAACTACGTGGACATCCAAAGAAAATAAAACTCCACCGGAGTAGCTGTACTTAACCCGAAAATGTAAACGGGGATACACGGAGGTACAGTATGGAGAGATTGGGATCTGAGATGTAAAAAAAAAAAAAAACGACTTAAAGTAAGGACTTGTAAATTTATCTGAAATATAAAAAACTGTGACCAAAATATAAAATATGAGTAAAGAATCCTGATGTTGTGTCACTGTTTGTGCAGTGTCTGGTACTGACATAGACTAGATTTAGAGTCCTCTGTATTTAATCACACAGAAACCGAGCACACGCTTCAGTTTAGGATGTTTTAAAAGCTTAAACAATCAGTCGAGTACAAAACGTTTCCGAATTCTATTTCTTCCCGTGACGGACACACACACACACACACACACACACAAAGGTACACACAAAAAAAGAAAACACTATACAATGGCCATGATCCATCCTGTTTTTTGTAATAATATCAGAATCTCTACGTGCTTTGAAAAGTCTGGGATGTTATTATACCTAATAATATTATCTACAACTGCACCTTCATATCCAGGAAAAGCTTTGACAGGAAAAACATATTTCTGATTGGAATGGGACCTGCCACCAAAAATTCCATGCGACCTTAGAGAGTGGGAGTAAAGAAAGTTTTTTTCTTTGTTATATACTTTGTTAAATATTTTTCAGAAACCCTCCAGATAGACAAAACACTTTTTAAATGAGTTAGATTTAGTTTTCTCTGTTTGTATGGGGAGTTCTAATTATTTATAGTATCAATCTGTATGCAATTTTAAGAAAATCTGCCTTGTAACTGGGAATTATAAAAAAGAAGTATATAACAGTATAAGTGTATGAAACTAAACTTTAAAAAAATATATTATTTGAACCAATTTACATGAATGCACTATGTCCATCCATTCATTTTCTATAACAGTCCATCTTAGGGTCCCACAGATCCCAACAACCCTCTACACACATCAGCATCCAAACAATACCAACGTTTAGCTGGAATGAAAGCTCCCAAACCCAACTATTTCTGAGAGCTGAGCACATTATAAATTCATAACCACCGACATTTCTAAAGCCGTCGTTTCTTTCCCCATGTGACAAAAGATTAATGCAAACTGTGCCTCGTCGGTTGATATTCAGTTGCTTTCAACTCAATTTCAGCCGGCTTTTTGCTAATTTTTATTCAGTGACCTTTTGGAATGCTGATTGACTGACACTTAAATTCTAATCCAGTCACTCCTTATTACAGCGTATCATATTTGTTCACTTAAAGGACTATCAACCTAACAGAGGTCCGACTAACGTTTTTTTTTTTTTTCCTTCTCCTGTACAAGGGATATCAATCATGGCGTGCTCCTTTTGGAGGGACATTTTTCAATTTAACCTTTATATTACATCGTGACTATATCAGAGGAGAGTTTCAACACACTTAACATGAGTGGCATTTAATATAGCATAACACTTGCGAGGTGAGGCCTAGAAGTGACCCTATTTAAATACCGAGGCCCCCCCCTCTCCGAGCTCAAACGGCGACACCTCCCCCCAGCAGCGTCCACGCACACCCACAAACCCCTGACGCAGTTATAATTAAACACACCTTATGCCTTCTTTGCAAATGCCCCCTCATCGATCTGCAGGTTTTGAACATTGGCGTGCGAGCTGCCCCCCAGCGAACGGCAAACCAGCGTTCACGGATCAGCAGGTTTCCATTAACAAAGTTGTTGATGTCGAGGAGGGAGGGCCGACACCGCCACGATGCCGTGGATAGATTTGGGTAAATTAACTTAGCATAAAGTGCTGGAAGGCTACAGGAGTGTTTGGGAGACGGCTAAAGAGAACGCAGGGCACCAGTCAGGCCCGAAAAGTCAATGCACATATTACCTCCCCGGTGAATATTTAAAAGTGTAGCTACTGGCAGTGTGTCCCAATAAATGGCCCCTATTAAATCCATTTTTCAAAATTCATCTCTTTTGTCTCGTTCCTATTTGATGCATTTTTCTCCTTTTTTGTTGTTCATAATTACTTCCACTTTTTTTCCCATCTATAGCTATAATTTGTTGTTTGAGACCTCATTACGCACATGCTGCCAAGTAGAATTAGCTGTTGAGGGCATTCAACTTAGAAATCACAGATACAAGAAATAGGGAAACCTCTGATGTGCGACATTAATAACAAATACATCATAAACACAAATACTGTAGGTCATTTAATCTTGAGAGTTTGTTTTGCAATTGGGATTTCAGTGAAGCTATGGTGAGGTACGTTGTTTAGTAGCTTACCTTTTGTTTTAATCAGGATAGATCTGTTTATATCGAATAGTTTTCTTTAGCTTTAGTGAAGAAAAGTGTAATAAAATTCATTAAATGCGACTACGCTGGAAACGCTGGCTTCCAGGTAATGAAGATTTGGAAATAGCCTGAGGATATACACACATCTCTGACCTTTGTCACTTCCTGGCACGTGCACGGCTGCTGGAGGTAAAGTCAGGCTTTAGTTTAAAGCTAGAATATGCTATTGTTGTAAATGGCTTTAACTGTAGTGGACATCAGTAATGAAAAAGTTATGGAACCCCGTCAGTCAGTGTTTTGTGGAATGACATGTTTACATTTCCACTATTAGAAAGATGTCCCTCACAGGAATACTAGCAGAGGTCACCCTCATTTTGTAAAGGAAATAAGGGCAGGGGGGCTTTTTAAAAAAATCAATTCCATTAAAAAAGAGGTCTTGACATTCAAATCAAAATGTAGCATATGCCATACATCTGTTTAATCTTTTTTGCAGTTCTCATGTTGTAAACAAGTCAGCCTCAGTGACGGTTTTTGACAGATGTTAAAGGTTTCGTTAAAGGCACAAACAGGAAACACACATAGTGTATCTTTTGTGATTGTACTTCAGTTTCTGTGAAGAGACAAAACAATCACCCAGCAATATGATGTCCAAATAGGAAACTTCTTTTTCAAAATTTCAAGCCAGTGTTAAGAATTAGTTTTGTTTTTGCACAGTTTTCTAGCCTCTCAAAAACTAAATTGAGCTCTGAAAGCCATTGTCTCAAAACTTTATCCGAGAAATGAGCAAATTCCACTTAGAATCTTCCATGTTATCTGTACTACAATAAGAACGTGCAAGGAGTTTTTTTTTTTTTTTTACTGTAGATTGATCTTTTTCTACTCCATTTCATTATAAATAAAAGTTTTGTTTAATTTACATAACAATTAATATCGAAAAGGTGCTTCGGTTTTAAGTAGCAAATCTGTGAAACAATCTAAATAATCAAATATAATGTATGGTAACTAACCTTTGATAACAGTTACATGTTGATATTAAGAGTAAAATCACACTTCCATATGCTTTGAATTAAAGTACAATTATATACTTTGGTGCTTAGACAAACACAACTAATGGAAGTACAGTGCAAAAGAGGAGAATATTAGAGTTTTTGCTCTTGGTGTTATTTTTACAATCAAGATTTTATGCTCCACCGATAGAATCATTCACAAAATGTCCTGTAAACGTCACAAATATCTCAAATAGCGAACAAACAACAGCGCGAGCAGAAAAGACAAAATCTTACAGAACCAGAGGCCAATTTGAAATAAGCATGGAATTAATTCCCCATGCAATATAAACGACTCAACAGAAGGGGGCTTGTTAGATACTGGCAATTCATGGGGGCCTAAACCCTGCCTGTGAGAATAAGAAAAACCCAAATTTTAAATCATCTCACACTAAATCCCATGCCTGTTGGATCTATTGAGCTATTGGTTAATAGTTAATGAACTATTAAACAAGAAAGTGCAACTATTAAAAATTAATTAAAATAATTTAGTGTGCCGTGGCAGTGCATTTCATAGACCCCTTTGAGGATATTCATCACAAAATTGAGATATTGGGAGAAAATATGTGTGTGTGCATTCACGCATCTGTCCAGTTCAAACCACAACTTTCGTCACAGAGCACATGTACGACTGCTGTCCAGATAGTTCTCACGCTTTCTTTTGAGTTCGCCCCCCGAGCTGTCCTCAGACCAAGTTCTGTGCTGCAGAGCAGATCCATTGCACCGTGTCTGCGTAACATGCAATGCAACTACAATGCACCACAGCTCTGACCTCCAATCCTCGAAACATTTGGCAGACGGCGAACCCAGCGTCCTGATGCGGCTGTGTGGAAAACCCCTCCGTACGGCTCCTCCTGGACGTTTCCAGTCCATCTTTCTTGACCTCTGACATATCTGCCATCGGGCTCCTTGGTGCCGCCACCTGGGAGCATTGATTACATTTGGGAAAGGAGAAATTAAAGTGTTAAGCTGTGGCAAAATAAGGTCAATAAAATGTGGATGTTGCCCCATATAGCACTTGGGCATCTGTAAAATCTTCAAACATCAGGGTGAACCGACTAAGTCTTGGTTTTGGTACAATGCAGCACAAATGGTGACATCACTCTGTAGGCAGCACATGGTGGTTTCCCAGTAGACAAAAATGTATGGATTTACATGTAAAACGAATTTTTGTATGTATTTTTCTTCAGCCAAATACATTTTGATTCAGAGGAAGTTTTCAGAATCTAAATCCTCTGTGATGGTACAGAAAAATGCAAAAAGTTACCTCTCAGAGATCAATCCAGCAGCAACTGGAAGAAAAAGCGTCAAGAAAAGCCGTGCTGACAGCCTTGCTTTGGTCCATTCCAACCTACTGTCCGACGGCCACGCCCCTGGTTCTTGACCGGGAAAATGCTCCAGTGACTTGGGCAGAGTACGAGGGGGGCCACCACGTTTTGGGATGAGGAGATTCCTCACAACCAATGGGGGGAAGCCCCCTTTGTGGGGCCCTCGGAGACTCCAGACAGAAGTGTGTGTGTGTCTGTGTGTGTGTGTCGGGTTTACTACAGGTCAGCTTCAACCACAAGGCCGACCCGGAATGCCAAGTGGATGGAGTGGTGGAAGAGGACTAAACAAAGCGACGCCAGAAACCAGAGGAGGATCACACACTGCTAATGTTTATTGAGAGATCATGCATAAAACAACAACACAAAGGGAAATCAGCAACAAAGCAACTCAGGAGAGTTGGCAGTCATACACAGCATCTTCTTATTTATTTATTTTTTTGTTACGACCTACAGACATCCTGTACAACAGGCCTGAGGTGACTCGCTGAAAAGTTGTCTGTGCCGAGCGAGGGTTTTAGATTTAGGAACACCACTCAACCCAAATAAGACGTTTTCTGCATTACAGAACAACCAGGCAATTACAGCCAAAAACAGGAAAACGTTTCCCTTTCAAAATGTGCAATACGCTGCCGTTTTTGTCAGAAGGGTCCCGAGTAAGTCCGACACATCCGACTTTAACTCGCTGGTCAAAAGCCCAGAATGAGAGAAAGTAATAAAATATCAACCCTTCATGAGATAAATGAGAAAACTAGTGTCTTTTTTTTTTTTTTTACAGCAAGAGATCTACCTCTCCTCAAAAAGCATGTGTGCATGTTGACTGTATGCAACACTTTCAACCAAGGGACACCCACAAACACATGAACAGAAACAAATTAAATCCATTAACTAGCAGCAGTGTTTGAAAAAAAAAAAAAAAGAAGGAAAATTCACTATGAACAAAACCTCAAAACACTAAAACACACATGACAGTTTCTCAATCTGTTCATCTTCCCTTTTTTTGTTGTTTTGCACAGTAAAGTGATTTAAAATACCCATCAAAATAAAAACAAACGGAAAAAAAAAGCTAAATAAATTATTTTCTCTGCTTAAAATAATTCAACTCTTTAAATTACAGCTGGTCAAGTGTTATCTGACTCCAAAGGTAATGCAGCCGTTATGGGGCGCGTTTGCGTCGAGCTTGTTGCGATTGTGTAACGTGTTGCATTTACCGTTGTCAAGAGTAAAATGTCTCATTTGTAGCACTGTGTCGGCGTCGAGCTCATTTTCCGAAAACAAATGTCATGCTGAAAGGTCAGGCCTTTAAGATGTCAGCGGCGCAGGAAAAAAAAAAAAAAAAAAACTAAAATAGAAAACGCACAAAATGACGTGCAAACCGCTTCTGTAGAGTGACGGTGAACTGTTCGGACATAGAGTAATAAAGCTGTAATTAACTAAGTCAAAAGACGTGTCTGTAAATAAATCATCAAGAATTGCCCTTTCATATCCAGATAAGACAAAACGGGAAGAAAAAATAAAACACATTTGGTCCTCCAAGCTCAATTCTAGGACAAAACATATAGTGCTGTCTACTCAGAGATTAAAACCCACAGTTAGGACTCACAAATAAGCAGCACGCGTCTCCTCTGCCACCGACAGTGGATCTGAACAGAACCACTCCCCATAACCTCAAATCAGTCCACACCCACGTATTCTAAGCTCGGTTAAAGCACAATTACGCAAGTGAGGACAACTACAGAAATGCTCAGAGTCATAACCGACTATAGCAGCTTCTAGGTGATAAATCTTCTCTGCAAAATAATCTCAGTGAGTCTGTTGTGAGCAGCAAACCAGCAAACACTGCACCGTCAGCATGTCAGAGATCCTTAAACTAGGCAGAAATCCCACATACGTTCAGGAGTGTTTGACGATGACAGTCTCAAAAAGTTCATTCCCTTTTTTCCCCCCTCCGTTTACATCTTTCCACGGTAGCGTCTGAAAGTCATCACAGGCAGTCCATTATCATCATCATCATCATTATCACTGCTCACTTTTCTGACACAGGTCAGATAAAGACCTTGTTCAAACAAGTGGAACATAAACATCCTCCCAACCCCCCCCAAAAAAAAAACTAAACAAAACACAAATCTGCATTAAATTACCGTCTCTCATATTTATGTAGCTTAAATATACACATAACTAATAATCTTGACATTTGCCATTTACAGATTTACAAACCAACTCAACGGCTTTGCAGAGAGACTCAGACAAACAGCAAAACGAGACCCCTGCAGGTATCATAGGTGCTTCCGCTGACAACAGGCAGAACATCCCACACCGCTTTGCCAAAAGAATTTAATTTAAAGGTGAACGCCAGAGTGATAATCAGAACTAAACTTTTGTTAATTTGTGGATTTCTTGAAATGGACTCCTTTTATCAAATGCGCTTGCTCTCTAATCAGGATTAAGCTGCAACATGAGGCTTTGCAGTCAGCGACCCGGTCGGATTGGATTCTTGACCCCTGAGGCAGAGAGCAGGCCTGTAAAATGCAGCGGTCACCAAGAAGACCAGAGACATCATCTGCCAGCACGACTCAATAAGCCAGTCGTTTGTTTTTTTTCCCCTTTCTAGTACAACAATAATCCCTCTCTTTTGAATAAGGAGAACATGTATAAAACTCAGTAATGTGTTGGTGTGATGAGTCAGAGTACAGGCGGATGGGTTTCTTAGTCCGGTCAGTCCGTGGTGGTGCAGCTCAGCTGGTCAGGTCTAAGGCTGGGGGTGGGGGGGGGGGGTTCATAAGGTCAAAGGTGGGAGGTCTACATAGCAAACAAAGCGTCCTCCGGTCTGTCTGGTTTCTTCCTGTTGGGGGTTCCCTGTGCTGCGCCCGGCTCTCCACTGGGGGGCGACGGTAGGCCGGGGACCATCTCAGCAGCTTTGGCCCTCTCCTCCAGGAATTTGTCAAACTCTGGAAGCATCGGACAGAAAAGACCAAAAAGGAAAAATGAACAGGGAGAGATACTAAAATACGGTAGGAGACATCGTGGCAAAGTGAGGGAGAAGTAGATTTATCTGATCTTACCTTCACTCGTCACGCCTTCCTCTCCTTCATCTCCCGTCTGTTAAAGAAAGAAAATAAATAAACAAACAACATAACATCTTGGAGCTGATACCCACTGCAAACCACCAGAGAGCACAAAATTTGGATCCATGGCATTTGCCCGACAGCACCAATTTACACCAAACTGAGGTTTCTATCTTCTTCTCCAAAGCATGCGCCAGGTGAACTAAGCCAGACATTAAGAAGCAACTTACCCGTTACGATGAGTCACACAAAGAAAAAAAGTATTATTCAGGAAGTCATTTCCAAACCATTATGGCAGATGTCAGCCAATAAACCCCCCAAAAAGGTACACAAAATGAGCAGGAGGTCTTGTGTTGTTTTGTCACATTTCAACAGTATTACATACTATGAAGTGGGAAAGCTAAAAATATAAGTACATTTTAAAAAGGCCAGTAATCAAGTGCATCGGTACCAAATTGGTACCAGGAGCACATGTGTCATTAAAGCCCTCATACTCACTTCTCCCCAACAGGTACCCCCCACATGTTAGTCAATTTTACTGGAATCAGGGTGTTAAATGAGATTAATCACAGCGAGGAAATGTGACACGTGATGTTTCAAAATTCAGAGGGAAAAAAAAATAAAGATATGAAGGGGGATGCAAGAGAGTGATAAAGGAAAGCAAGCAGAAATGAAAAAAAGTCATGATCAGCTCACCACATCTGTACTTAGCCACTCCTCTATGTCATCCATGACAGAGGACTGACGTTCGACACCCTTAGGGGCAGCATCAAGAGCACCACGGGTGGCCAGACAAAAAACAAAACAAAAAACAAAGATCCGACCCAAAACAAAACACAAATCATAACTTAAAATATGACTCAGACCAACTTCAGGGTTAACTCAAATGCAACTTAAAGAATGTGAACGGTTCAGAATGTGAAGTTGATGTTGGCGGAGCTGGGGATGAGGTGTAGTGCTGGCTAGTGTGAATGTAAGAGGAATCCACCCACACCGTGGTGGCAAATTAACAGACGCAAGTTAACCAAGACAAAATAAATGTGTCGCTTTCAGCTTTAGAGCCGACAACGTTTTATCAGTCTGCTCCAATTTGAATCATCCATAATGAGTTATGGAGACGGACTAGTGCAACTAATGTGAAGGTTTTTGGATTTATTTGGGCTTGCCACAGAGCAATCGCTCACGTCAAGTGATTATTACAATCAGAAAGTATGACTCACCCCTCCAGCGGCTGGCTGCACAACATCCAGAGTGGGGGGGGGGCCCTGGGCGCTGAGGCTGTCTTCTGCCGCGGTGCTGAGGCCAGACAGGGGGGGGGGGGGGGACGTTATCCACAGTTACAAGCGCCAGCCAGAACCGACAGATGGATGAGGATTTAGTCTCGGGTGGACTCTTACCTTCGAGGTTCGGACGCTGCCCCGGTGGTCCTGGTCTGGGCGAACACGTCGAAGTCGTCCTGCGCGGGCGGGGGCTTGCAGCTGGAGAGCGAGCTCAGGGTGCTGCTCACGCTGTCTGCGCCCATGTCTGCGGAGGAGAGGCACGCATGGAGTTCTCTTCCACAAAGAAATCAACCGCACGGTGTGTTCACTGAAGTCAAGAGAAAGCACTGTGCATGCTGAACCAGAAAAGTCAAACTGTTTGCCAATCCACTAAAACAAACAAACACTGTGGGATGAATTACACATATATGCTGATATTAGAAGTGAGACCCAGAAAAATATTTTTTTGTGTGGAAGTTAATACGAGCTGCGGGAAAAAGCAACATTTGTAATCTAGTCGTATCATGGTTACGTACCTAGACCGGCCAGGCGGGAGGCCAAGGTGGCCGGGGAGGCGGGTCTTCCTGCAGGGGCTGTAAGGGCGGCGGGCAGAGATGTCGGGGGTGCGTTTGGCATGTTGCTGACCACTGCAGGGGAGCCTGGGCCGAGGTCGATGAGGTTGTCCTCTGTAGCTTCGCTGAGCACCTGATGGGTGGAAAAGGAAGGAGACAATTTGATGGACTTACATTTCTCCCTAGCAGCAGCAAAGAGATCGATAAAGGGTTCCCGCAAAACGAGTCCTTATGTGGGAGACTGGGGTAAGACAGGATTTTAGTTCCTTGTTTATGTTAAAAAGAACAAAAAAGGGAGAGAAAAAAAAAAAAAAAGCGTTTCACTCTGGCTTGAATAAAAAAAAGAAAGGTGCGGTGCATCACAAGCAAAAGCTGTTGGACAAAAAAAACAAAAAACATTCTGGTTGGATCAGGAGAGCAGGGCGATGTCTGTGGCTGTGGGAGATCGACTCACTTTCTGTAACGGTGATTCTTAAGGGGGTAGAAGAAGACTTCTCTATGGAGACGTATTTACTGAGGTTTGAAAACTCACACAAACTGACCAAGAATTCCTGAGGTGTGATGAGTTACAATAGATACTCAATTACTGTTGGTTATCCATAAACACAGAGTAATCCCCTTAAGAAGGCAGAAACGTCAGGTAAAGGAAAGGGAGACTGGCTATTTGGGGATAAAGCACACAACATGACGGTGACTCCAAGTACGTGTTCAGCGTGGAACCATCTTAAGCATCCGTCACTGCTGGCTACTTAACGGCAGATTTGCAACATTCCAAATAGGGTGGAAAAAAGCCCGTGGGAAAATGAGCCCATATCACTTAGCCGTGTTTCAATCGTTACTATGTGGGGTGATGCGGCTCATTTTAGGGAGGCTGACAAGATTTCCATACTTGCCTGTCTCAGCTAGCCACAGCAACAGAAGAACAGATAAGAACAGAAAAGAGGAGACAGTGAATACCATTAACATGCCAATGCAGACCCACAGTGTAATAGCATGAGCATGGATGGATGGATGAGCCATGCAGAAAGGACTGGAAACCCAACGCGGAGGTGGGGATCTTCCAGTTTACCGCTGCTTTTTAATCCGGGATAAGGGGGAAACAACAGATTAATGACAATAAAGGATGAGCAAGAACGAGCTTTGGTGTATGTGGAGGTGGGCGTGTGAAGCGCAGCTCGCTCAGCGGTTAATGTAACAGCAATGAAAATGGTTGCAGCATTTCTGACTGACAAAAGCACTCTCAATAACAAGTACACAATCTTATCTTAACTAGCCTAAATTCACAATTCTCTACTGGCAACATGAAACTCGGCAACAATTCTCTTTCGCTGAATTATAAAATTTCATGTCACAATGAGCCAAAAATAGAAAAAAGAAAAAACGGATGATAAAATAACATGTGCTTCATTTAATAGCGAGAGCTAACACACATCTTTGTTGGGTTTCCGTTTAAAATCAGACCAGTGCGCTTGTGAAAAAAACAAATAACATACAGTAGAAAGACAGGAATGACTGGAGTCACATGCAATTTGACACGACGGACATTGGAAGGTGCAGACACCAGGAGATGTGAGAATATGAGTGGAGACACAGAAGACAGAGCTGAGAGAACTCTCAGAGGCGACAAAGAATTTTTCTTTTTTTTTTTTTTTTAAAGAGTGATGCAAGAAATGCTGACTCACCCCATTGTTGACAGTCTGAGCCGAGGACCTCCCAGACCTGAACCTCTCATACCTGAAGCAATGAAGACAGGACAGGAAAGATCAACAAGAGCTCTTTTTATCTTGGCAAACAGACATTGCTTTCATTGTAGGAGGAAGAGTGAAAGATAAATAAACATAAAAAAACCTTAAGTGCTTCCTCTCAAAGGGACTTCTACTCAGAGATTTAGTCCTAAAACGTGGCCTTTCTCACCTGTCAAAACGGAGGAAGATGTTGTTGAGGTCGTCGTTGACGTGCAGCAGCTCCTCCGTCACCGCCTCGCTGGAAACACAGGAGATGAGCTCCACTATTCTCTGCTGCATGGCTCTGCAAGTCCGGTTCAGCTCCTGGGCAACACAAATGTGCACGTCACATACAGATACTTTAAATCGGGGGTGTACAAACGCAGTCCTCGGGGAGGGGCGGGGGCACTGTCCTACAGGTTTTAGACGTTTTTCTGCTTCGACGCACCCGATTCTGATGAATTAGGTTAGTTCAAAAGCTCTGCACAAGCCTGATAATGCCACGCTGCCGTGAATCAGCAGCTGAAGCAGGGAAACTTCCTCAACCTGCAGGACCGCAGCCCTCGAGGACTGACTTTAAAAGAAGAATGCAAGTCATCCAGAGTCACATGGAGAGGGGGGTCTCTTGCCTGTAGTAATTCATAATCTGAAGCCTCCTCCTGTCCTGGCACCATCTCAGTCAGCATCTCTGACATCACCTTAGTGTTTCCGCGAACGATGTCCAACTCGCTGCGTAGCCGGCAAATCTGGGAAAAGTACAAGTACACATGCTGGGTCCGATATGCAAAAGTTTGATATGCAAAGTTTTAGCCGCCACAAGGCAATAAATAGCCCCTCTGTAAAATAGTAAAGAAGAAAAAAGCAATGTGTGTGAGCCATTCACAGGAGAGTGTTCCAGACATGATGAGGTGCTGGATAGAAAAAGGATTGAAATATAAGGACTATAAAAAGGACGTTCAAGCTCACCTGAGCTCTGCAGCTCTACTGAGAAAAAATTGCAACCTTAGCAATGACTTCTTTTCTGAGCCACAAAAAAGTTGAGCAAATGTCAACCTCAATTCGGCATCTCATCCTGCCAAGGACATCTCTATCATCAGTCACACTGCTCATAATCCCCCAAAACATGGTAATCTAAAGCCATAACAGAGCCAAGCAGGTTTCGTTATCTTTACAGCCTTGACTGAAGAAGACTAGGAAGCACTACTTTCTAAAACAGGCCCTGTGTGACACCTCCAGGAGCACTGCCCTAAAAAGGGCAGACATAAATAAACAGATAAATATCTAATCAAAGTGTGGCTGGGGTGGCGCCACTGTACCTGTTCAGATGTAGGGTTGATGGATCCAGAGGCTTGAATGCTCGGGACCTGAGGTTCGGTGTAAGCAGGTGGAACAGACGGTGGCTTGGGCTGAGTGGTAGTGCTGTACTTGTGTAGGGTGGAGTCGCCCTCTGGAGCAGATGCTGCCTACAAGCAACGAAACGGTATGCGAGAAATGAATCAATGCAATCGGCACATTCTGCTTGAAATGTTGGGCAATATCGGACCGTCCGGCCTGGTGACTCCTACCCGCTGAGGCGTGTGTATGGGTGACAGGGTCTCCAGGTCTGACATGGGGAACTCAATGCCTTTTCTCTTGAGCTCTTCATAGATTTGAACTACGCCCGTGAGGTCAGGACTGCTCCTGAATGCATCAGCCCAAGCCTGAAGAATGCAGTGCAAATAATGGGTTAAAGGAGGGACACAAAACAACATTAAAGAGAGGGCCAACGGCAAACAAAGCAATTTATTAGTACTGAAGAGGCTGTTCTCTAAAGATTTTTGTCTACCATTAACACACTCAATCAGCCAGCTACAAGCCATTTTAAATGTTCAATACATGAGAAAATTACAAGGAAAAAATACGATTTCTTATGGTCTGACTAAAAAAATTGAAATATATTCACAACAGTTAACTCGGTCTATTCAAATAATGGCTTGAAACTAAATAAAGGAAAACTAAAATGAACACATTATAAGGAGTTTACGATAGGTCTGACACACATGTGAGCATCTGAGAGAAGAGACGGTTGTTAAATGAGGCGTTTCAGCCAGCCTGTCCATTTCTTACCCGAGTTTTCTGCACTGAGCTACACGACACATTGAAAACACTTTAACAGCCGTACTTTTATAAAAGAAAACAATTTAAAAATTCTCCATCCCTCACAGCTAAGACACACCCCTCCTGACAGCATGCCTCCTCCAGTGCCTCTGGTGGAAATAAGAGGAGGCCATGTGAATGCTGCAGGGGAACTGGAGCTGGGATCAGGTAACCAGAGCTGCTGCTGGCAGAGGCCTTGGAGTCCCTGTGGTTTACCTGAGTCTCAGTCTGGACATGACAGCCCAACTCCTGGACTGATCCACAGCTATAGATACTGCGACAAACATCTGTCACCCAAACCGACTCGGTTAGAAATATCTGTGTTCTCTTACACTGTGCTGCACGATTAAAAGTAAAAGCCCAGTACTTCATTTAGCTTTATGATGTACTCTTGGCAAACTAAACGGCTGTTATCTCACCTGAATCAGAGCGAGTACTTTATCTTGAACAATGGTTGGCGGGTTGTTTTTCGGAGAGATAATCTTAACGAGCACGCCATCGACAAAGTCCCTGCTGGTCACTAAAGCGTGAAAACGATGGCCACAGTTCTTCACACACGTTTCAAGAACCTGAAAGGCGCAGAGATGAAACAACTTTCAGAACACACTCTAATCCACCACAGACAGTGACACAAAGCCCTCATAAACCTGTTAGTTGTTTCAAGTTGATAATAGTGAATGGCTGAATTTTTCCTTTGCATTTAACTCACCGTTAAAGTCAGCATCACCTCCCTATAGTTCCTATTCCCATTGAGTCTCTTCTTTACTGCTCTAGTGGCATCTTTTGGCCTACACACAAGTAAAGACATACACAAACGTACAAAAAGACAGCAAAATGCATTAAGACTTTTCTTTTTTAGAGATAACAAAAACAAACATATTTATCAAGGCAACAATAGCTGGAGGCTTTATGTAGCAGTCTAAGTGGCACTGACTATTTGTTAGACACAACAGAACAAACGTATAAACCAAAAACAAGAGGCACAATGTAATGATTCTTTTGACTTTTCCTCTGTAGTGCGTTTTCTAAAAATGGCAGAAATATTACAACTCTTTTTGGCAATTTTTAACAGACCTTATCTGAAACACTGGGCGTACGACGCCCCACACATTAGGAATAGACAAGTATGACAGGCTAGACATCGCCTGCTTCTGCCAGTTTTACAACCCGCTAATCAAATAGGACCTGGACTTCACACACCAGCTCTGAACACACACCACAAACTTATTGGAGCAGGGAGATAAGCAGAGCGACATTGCTCATAAATACCCTCAAACAACTAGAGGAACATTAGATATTTCATGAGGACACCGATAAGGATCAACAGGACATGACTGACTCTGCTTGAATACCATTTTGCATAATGTAAATATATCAATGGCTGACGTACACCACAGCACATACAACATGTATATATATATATATATATATGGCCACTTAACGATTTCATAACTCACCCATCCTCTGTTTCATTTATAAGGTCACATATTTCCATATTGAGGGCCCAATCTTCACTTTGCAGGGAGCCGTCAGTGGCTCTTTCTGGAAACAGACAAGCAGTTACTTAGGGAGGGGAGAAAATGCAGCTTAAAATGCAGCAAACCAACTCTCTGACGACAACTGGTGGCTAACTGTTAGCCAACTATACTGCTATGTCTGACTTAAAATATAATTGGTTTAATGCGTTACTGTCCTCAAGACCAATGTTTGACACGGTAGTAACAACAGGTACACATTTGGAATATAAACTATACTACCAGTACAGTGACAGAAGACATTTCCGTATGGCTATCTAGCAAGGCGGCTAACGGCGACTGTCCAGTTGGAGAGAACTCATTCAGGGATGCTAAAATGCTAAAGTAGCAAACCCGTACAAGACAGCTACAGAAAAAAAGACACGATTCCAAGACATGTACACCTTCATACCCGTGTTGCCATTTCCAAAATATCAAGTTACCTACCAATGCAATGCCCCACTGGGGTACTGAAAGGATTCCCCAATAGGAACTCCATCTTGCTCGACAATAAACAAGTCAGTCCATGGGATAATGACGAAAATGTTATAAGAGGAAGCATGGACGTAGTCCCGCCTACAGTCTCATTTTATTGGCCAAAAATGTTTTTGCTTTGTTATGATTGGAGCGCGCAAACATCGATCGTTTTAGCTTGGCCATTGTGAATAGACGGAAGCAAAGGTTGAACCAATAAAATTGACGTTATAACCCATGAACTCACCTCGGTATTTGATTATGTAGGCGTATGAGATAAATGTATCAATATATCTTCTTTTTATTTGAAAATAAATTGATGACGTTATTTCGGAATAACAGAAGAAATTATAGACATTGATATGTATAAAAGCATCCAAACTAAGGTGTCTTTATGTTAAAAAATACCAGATGAAAAGCAATGCACTTTTCTGATGAATCAAAACAAGGTATTTTAGAGACAAAATAATCTGGATAAAGAATTCTTTATTGCCAAACACAGCACATGCAGAACCGTCTGGTCTTCAGACAGGCAAATGTTGCTGACAGAAAACTGAAGTAGCATTCCTTCACCAATCTGACAACTTCATCATTCAATCTTTTGAGACGCTGTGCCAGTGTTCAGAATCTCACAGGTGGTTGTGAACTAACTAGAAATTGGGGGGAGAGTCACTCTTGGCAGCTGCCACATGTTGGGAAAAAAAAAACCCAGTCAATGGAGTGTGATGACTCTGTAACAGCTAACCACCAAAATAGACGTCACTACAAAACAGAATAATCTGGACATGAGGTTGGATGTGGAAACACTGATAAAAATCAGATGGTGGTATTGTCCCTGCGTGTATTTGCTGTGTAGTTTCTTAAGATTGACATGTTGACCCATGGGTTAAGCGGTGACGCTAGTTCTCCTCAGTCCTGCATTAGTTTGCGTTTGACAGTAGAAGTCTCTGATGAGAGGTGAACAAACAGAGCCCCTGCAGCAGTCCGCGCCCTCAGCTCATACATATCATAGTCGTGAGCCCATTCCACATTCCCCCAGTGCTGAATCTGTAGAGGAGTAGCAACACGATTTAAGAATTCATCAAAAATAGCTTGACATTTTGTGTTTACAGACTAGATCTAATAGCTTTTCATGACACTTTTCCTCAATATAGTAATGGAGAAATTAAGAGTCCCCTTTGCGTAACAGAGGCCTTTAGGAAATAACAAAGAAGAACATTTGCAAGGAAATTCTGGGTTTTCTCATTAACTTCATACCTGGAACTCCTCCTCCAATCTGGAGAGCAGTACTGCCTGCTCCACACTCAAATATCTGTCAATCACCCCCAGTGACAGCACAACAGACTTGAGTTGGGTGATCACATACTCAAGACCTACAAAGAAGCAACCAAATTTTACAACACGTAAAAGTCTGTAAAAGTCATACTAATGCAGCAAGTCTGTTAAGGTTTGGGATGTTTTACCCGTTAAAGACCAGAGGTTGTAGGAGGTAAGGTGCTGTCTGAATATGTCTTTGGTTGCCTCGGGAATTTCAGGACCCAAAATACTGGAGGAGGATCCGATCGTGACGTTATATCTACAATTAAGTTGTGAAAGACAAACATGGAGCGAATAACTGGTCACGGCATCTTCATGGACTCGGTTTGGTCTCTTACAAAAGCACAAATGCCTGACAATGACTATAAAAAAAAAAACCTTACCTGTTCTCAATCCAGTGCAGCACAGGATCCCATTCATTCTTTTGCAGCTCAACCATACCAGGTGGCTCCTCTACTCTGTAACTGCCAAAAGCATAAAAGGCTGCCATAATAAAACGCAAATGTGCAGACAGCTCCTTACAATTGCATTTTAACAATGGAAAAATATATGTATAAACCCTGTTCAATTGAAAATAAATTTGAATTCTTAAGCAACTTAATAAATTGAACTTCCCTCACTTGGGTTGAATGAAGTATTTATCCATTTCTGTTTTTAATTTATTTGCTCTCTAATGTAGGAAAATTACATCTAGAAGATGCCTAGCAGGTAGAAGTGACTTTCTACCTCAGTGATATATGTCTAGAATGAATTCATTGTTTCAATCATACTCGCCCTGGACAACTTTGCATCAATCAAAAAGAATCTTAAGTCTCAACAGTGCGAGGAATGTGCATCCATATATACTCACATATAGCACCGGTATGACTGTCAAAGCTATTTGAGATGTGTTCGTGTTTCACAGATCTCTTGTCTTACACTAAGAAATGTTAACTAAGTCACACTCACGTCTGAATGATGACATTGTTCAGATACTGAATGTCAGAGATTTTAGAGAAATGTCAGTAGACCTGTGGATGTAGATGCAGACAGAGGTAAATAAACGTCCACACTGCATCATCACTGTGCGTACAAACCACCTGTAGCTCCCAGTGCAAACACTAAATTGGATCTAAACTTAAGTTGAAGCATATCTATGGATCTATGATCCATTGAACAGATTTAGTGCATTATGTATTTTAAAACATAAACTTTGGAAGGTTATCTCTTCAAGGAGATTGTGCACATTTTAAAGTATGCTGTGAGGAGAATGTGATAGCTCTGCTACCTGTGTCAAATGCACTGATTTAAGCAGTAATTAATAATGTTTTAATTCTAAGAATTCTGAAACAAATCTAGATGAGACGTGTACCAGATGGTGTCAGTCTCCAGAAACTTGAGAGCAGCGGCGATCATTTGGTCCTTGGTCCGTTGGGTGGGATTGTCCAGAGCCGTGTTGCATAGAGTCGTCTGCAGGAAGAGTTTTCGGACATTATGAGTTCAGTCAAACACTCTTTATTTTCATCTGAAACTACCACCGTAATAAATACAGTTAATCCTCTTGTAATTGAACAGTTTATTCACAAGAGTGTTCTTCAATTTACTTCTGCCTGTTCTTAGAAGATCAGACATTTTTGGACTGATTTGTTTTCTGCTTGTATTTGTTATCCCAACTGACATGTGGAATGCTGCTGTTACCATCGGCTGTGCTGTTTTTTATTTAATCTGTCTGGCTCAGTTAAAGCAATTTGAGGAAATCTAAATGCAACTCCAAATGCGCCGTGAATATTGGGATGACAGAGCTTGGAACCTGTTACGCCGTACCAGGTGCATGCTGTAGAACTTGAGCGTATCTCTCTGAGCATCCCACTCTGTTGCCACAGCAATGGCCAGGGCTTCATTTGGGACGGTGAATAGCTTCCCTCCTGGAGTCTTTAGTTTCCTCTGGTCTAGGTTAATCTCGAACAAACCGCCTTCAGAGAAAAATCAAATTGAGAATATGGGAAGCGATTAAGCAGAAGGGTGACATATGTATGGAAAAGGGAAAGAAAGCCTATAACTACAAAACACCAAACACAATTTCCTGATCACGTGATCACTAGATTACTTACTTACTAAATAACTTGATACCAGATTTGATGCTTACCTTCACTTTGGGATATGCTGACGTCTTGATAGAATTTCTTCCTCTCTGGCATAACAAAACAGCATATCATGAACCCAATTGGCAATTGACGGCACAAGTAAGCTTAAATTGCAAATAATTTTTAGAGGCCTGGGTTTATTATTACAGCGATATGTATCCTACCTGAGGAGGCAGTTGAGTATTTCAGCGTGCAACTGGCCTGCTGAAGTCTCGGGTACAAATTACAAGAAGAGAAGACATGTCCAACCTGATTCTGGAGTCTAACAATATTTCTTAACATTGCGCAAATTTGGTGAAAGGTGATGTTTGTTGACCACTGTAAAGCTACTGTAGCTATAAATGGAAACAATCACCAGGCTTCCTGGTTTTGACAATCCTTCACCCAACAAATTGAAACATAGTTAATATCTAGACAAAAATCGTTATTCTATGAAGTCGCGAAGTCTTGTTTTTCATTTGCTTTTTATCTATACAACCGAAGCTCCTCCGTTCAAAACCATGCGTATGACCTTCTGATGCTGTACGACATAGTAGCTGCTTATACAGCTGGTATATGTAGTTTTCCGACTGTGTCTACGCACCATTACACAACAGTGAAAAACTACACGGAAATGTCCAGACAATATCTTCCGCATTTTTAGCCAATACGCTTTTAGATTGTTAACGGTGTCGATTATTTTGACCAATGACAGTTTTGGATGCTGCCGGCATGGCGAAGCGTCGAAGTCCACTTAGTTCTTTGGGAGGTTGGCGCTTCGTAAACTGAACAACAGCGGAATTCAGTGGAATTCGGATGCTGACGAACCTCTTCAGCACTCTTTGGGCGGTTTGTTGAAGTCCACGGAGTCCTTCGCCCGCACAGCCATTGACTGCGGTTGGTGCCAAGCCAGCGAAGCGGGAGCCATGCCTGTCCCCGCTGGATACCTCAGCGACTCCCCCGCCGCGGCCTTTACATCCTCGGCCTCACTTATCCCGCCACCACCGATAAACACTCATCAGCCCGGTGTTGTCACCTCCCTCTTGTACAGTGGCTCCAAGTTCAGAGGGCACCAGAAAAGCAAAGGGAACTCTTACGATGTGGAAGTTGTGTTGCAGGTGGGGCTGTATTTAATTATTTAGTCGACTGTGTCAGGGTGTTTGGTGATGTGTCAAACTGGCGGTGCGATGACTGACAGCTGATCAGTCCTGGCCCGTCCCGAGTAACTATCTTTGGCTGTAACTGTGGGATTGTACACACAAAACAACTAGTAACCAAAAGCAGACCGCACTGTTGATATTTAAAATCACATTTAACTCATGCAGTGTCACGTAGTATTTGGGATGTTGACACAGAGTTGCTTTTGCACACACGTGACGACCAAAACAAACAACAAAATACTTTCTCAATAGGTTTCACTTTTTGAGCCGTGCTACAGAATCCACACTGGTTGTCACTGGAATGTAAAAGGAAACACAAATGACCATAATCTCCTCTTCTGTCAAAGCATGTCACGATGGAGGATTCCTACCTGTGTGGCTACCTGAAGATTAAAGGACTGACAGAGGTGAGTTCTAGTTTGTTGCTGAAGAATTGAACCAACCTCTTTGCAGAGGTCTGTCGGCAGGAAAATGTTTAACCCCGATCGGGGATATGTTTCTACGTAAGGTAGACGTAGACTTTGAAAGCCAACATGCAACCATGAACACTTTCTTTCATGAAAACCTCAGTTTTCACAAAACTGTGACTTTGTTGTGACCGTAATCAGGTAATCAGGTTTTGCATTGCTTCTAGTTTTGGAGACAGGCCAGAAAGAGGATTTATTTTTCTTGCAAAAGTTGAATAGGTTGTTGTTCCCTTAGACCTTCTGAGGACACAGAATACAGCTCACATGGAAACTGCCCCATAAACTAATTAAACATGCAATACAGACCTTGAAGAACATATTCTTCAAGGTCTGCCTCATATTCTGCCTTAACAGCTTGTTTGCCATTTAAGATTTGGAACTGTACTTCTCGCTCAAAACAAAGGTCTAAATAGTTTGCTTTAGAATGAAAACGATTGCTTGGCAGACGCCACAAAGCAGGACTTGCTTGCTCTCATAGGAATATCCGACGCTGACCACGTTCTTTGCCGGGGAAATCATCAGCCGGAAGCGGCCGTTTCTCACTCGGAAGTGGGATGCAGACGAGGACGTGGATCGAAAGCACTGGGTAGGCTGAGCCTTTTCTCATAACATGCACACCTGTAGACCCTCTTTCTCACGTTATCCTTTTGCTTTTGGTTTCAAGGGCAAGTTCAACGCCTTCTACCAATATGCAAAGACGTTCAACTCTGACGAGTTTGACTACGAGGATCTGAAGAACTCGGACTATATTTTCATGCGGTGGAAGGTAAGACGCTATCGGACTCCCTCTCCACTGGAAGCTCCGGTCACCTTAGCGTGTTTACCCTCTAACTCTCTGCCCCTCTGCCTTCTCTTCCTCCCCCCCCCCTCAGGAGCAGTTCCTGGTCCCCGACCACACGATCAAAGACATTAGCGGAGCTTCATTTGCTGGGTTCTATTACATTTGCTTCCAAAAGTCCACGGCGACGATTGAGGGCTACTACTACCACAGGAGCTCAGAATGGTAACGCTGCCCAGCAGAAATGGCCGACACTTCCCTGATTGTTAGTGCCGAGCAGGCTCACGACTGAAAGGTTTCCAGATCCGACCCCAGCGCTGCGGAAGAATGAGCTTGCGTGTACTCCATTTCTTTACGTTTTCCATTTTATTTGGCATTTCTTTCAGCTCTCTCCCACATAAGCTAAAAAAAACAAAACATCCCACTTTTTTTTTTTTTTTTGCCTTCACCTCCTCTGACCACAGATGTTGAAGCAGCTTTTGCTGCTTTCTACGCCAACAGAAAATACCTTTTGAATGATGCCACTCAGCCCACTGGCCACAATGTGACGCTCTCACTGAGCAACTTTGTGACGTTTGAAAAGTGAATAACCACAACCTGTAAAATACTGTGATTTGAGAAGTTAAAATCTGTTGCTTCAAACGGTCTGGAATCGATGTGGCAGTTAGTCAAAGCACCCAGAATCTCTAACCTCTGACTTTTAATTTAACTTGTTAAAAAAAAGAAAGATTTCTCTTCATGGGCTGAACGGTGGTGTTGTCATGCCTCCTTTAGGCTGAATATTCAATGCAGTTGTTTAGCCACCCTGAATGTTACACTTCCAGCAGGCACTGCCTTGTTTTAGTCTTTCAAACATATTGGGTTGTTAAAGCACCTGGGAGGACCTTTGTTATTGTGACAATGGCCAAAGTTTTGTTTGGCGGATACGTCCAATGTTAACGCTCCTCTGTTATTCCACACGCAAGAGTTTTTTTTTACACATTTACTCATTTAGTTTTCACACTAAAAATGGGTAAACAATTTAAATCCTTGTGATAGTTGAACCAGAAACTAAAAGAAGGGGATTGTTTTCCACATTTCCAGAAGCAGAGATAGAAAAGATGGCCGACCGCCACTCCCCCAGTGTCCCTCTGGGTTTGGTGTGAGTGGATAATCGGCAGCAGAAACGCAGCTGGCACGTGCACACGGGGTCTAAGGTTTTTTCTGCTGTCTCCCTGCAGGTACCAGTCGTTAAACCTCACCCACGTCCCCGAGCACAGCGCCGCCATCTACGAGTTCCGGTGACCCTCCCCGCCCGCCTTCCCCCGACGCGGCAGAGCGCTCTTTTGTTGGACAAAGACTCGAGGCCGAGCGGAGACGTGCAGACGCTACTGAGGAGGAGAGCGGCGCCACTTCGGGACGAGAATTGGAACACACTCCCGACACTCCCTCAAAAAGCGGCGAGGAGCCCCACGGGACGGCGGACAAACGAATGTATGAGCGGACAGGAGGAAAGCGCAGACGCCCCCCCCCCGGGATGGGGGTTCTAAAAGCCTGAGGAGGCGACAGGGGACGGGCCTGGTTCTTCCAGACGCCCCCCCCCCCCCTCATCCATTTGGTTTTTAACACCTGTTTTTAAAAAAGAAAAAAGAAAGAAAGAAAAAAAAGCTGTGTCAGCAAACGTTCTGCGCCTTTTCGGGGAGCTCCCTCTTTCGGTTTGTGTCCAGCTTTTATCCAATCAGTAACCAAATAAGCAGCGTGAACTAGACTAAACTGCTATAGGACAAGGATTCCTCTGAGGAGTCCGCTTTTAATAAACACAACCTCCGAGGGAGTAAAATCACCAAGCGTGTGAGGAGGAAACCAGAGAGAGAGAGAGAGAGAGAGAGAGAGAAGAGTCGGGAGTTCTCATCAGAGCTCACTGGGTTCGCAGATCTGATCTGTAATGAGCCCAGGGAGCCCGACACAGTATTTCTAAGCTAAGATGATTCCTTGAATGCCAGATGAGAGTATATTTTCTTATGTTTTCCTCCTAAAGATGGACGTGGAGCGGCACTTTTAACGGTAACGATCTGCTAGTCATGTCAAAAACAAGCAGTGCTCCCAGAACCGCTTGGGGAGATTCTTTTCGTGTAGGATTGCTGTGGATTTTCCTCTTGTCGCGCTACATTTTGCACAAAGGCAGACCATGTTGTTGGAACTGCTGGCAGAAAGGGGTTTCACACGCAAGGCGTGGCATAAGCTTCAAGGTGGCCGGACAGATCCTCTCTGAGGGGTTTTATTTGAGCAAAGTATTCAACAAAGAGTTTTTTTTCTCTTTTTGTTTGTATGTTGTTGTTTGTTTTCTCCCCTTCTCGTGTTTCATTTTGAGTTGAGACACCCCCCCCACCTCGACCACCTTACGTTTACATCCCCTCGACTATGCAACACTCTAAAGACAGCACTCTCCAAACCCACCATCCTGAGCTTTCAGGAGCAAAGTGTTACTCTATTGTCAATGTATACATACATATATCTATATATCAATTTTAAGAATAGGAAAAAAAAAAAAATCTATCTTCACCACAGAAAGTATTTTTGCTGAATCGTCAATTATTTCCTTCCCCAAATCACGTTTCTCTTCCCTGTGATTGTGCCATCCTTTTTTAAAGCTCGCCAGAGTTGTACAGTAACAGATTGAAGTGTGTTTGTGGATAAAGCTGGAATTCATCAATGGTGTGATTGTAAAGAGTGGATAAAGGAATTCTTTTTTTAAATGAAAAAAGACCTAAACAACATTCACTGTGTCTCCCGTCTTACTTCCGCATCATGATACCAAGTTATTAAGATGATCCCCCCCCATCCCTGTGGCCCTACACTGCCATCTAGTGGAGCTGTCAGGGATGGAGTCTGGAAAAAGGTGCAGCTTACTTGCTGCATGCCTGAAACTCCACGTGCAGAGCGTTTAACCTCTGGGTGACGGGTATGTTGGCAGCAGTTATGGATTAAAATTTTTTTTTTTTGCGTCTTCAAAATCTGTAGCCTGCAAATCCAAATCTTCATCAGAGCGACCAGGCAGAAAAACGAAATAGCTGGAATTTAAAAAAATCCATTCTGTTCCAATGTCTAAACAGGTGTTCTTTTGTTTTGTTTTTTATATAAATCAAGTGTTCATCTTTCTTTTTTTTCCTAAAAAATAAAATAAAAATCTTGAGCAAGAATAGAATTTGAAAAAAAGCTACAGGACTGACGCTTTTTGTGAAATATAAAGGAGCAGTTGGGGTTTTAGGTTGAGACCCCCAAAATATATGATTTTTTTCTCACTCTAACTTGAATATCAGACCCCTATCTCCTTTGTAATGACGTTTTCTGCCAGTAAACGCTGGCTGCTGCAGGTGACACTTTAAAAAACTAAATCAAAGTAAACTCTCCACCACGCCGTCTGCCCCGCGGGTATTAGGCTGAGTTTTGTATGACAGCTGTTGATGACAGTGATGTGGGTCACTAGGCTGTTACATAACATGCTCTTATTACCAAACAGTTTCATCTTGAAAAAAATTAAGTCAATCAGGTTGCGGGAGAGCTTAGCAAAACCGGTGCTGCTATTTATAGCTCCTCGCCAGGCCTGAAGACGGCGTTGGAGGAAATGTAATCTCACCAGGACGGCAGGCCTGAACCAGCGCATTTCTCCCAGGTAGGCCCTTTGTCTTATGATCGATGGCTGTCGGCCCAGGATTAAAGCAGAGGCAGAGTATTAGATCAGACAGCCCAAACCAAATCCACCTCGTCAGGTGCCGCTTTATCTCCATTTATCATGTAACAGTTGGCACAGACGTTTCGGTTTCCCGGTCGGAAGTGTCACTCAAAATTGACACACATCAAGAAGCAGACAATGAGCCTTTTGTCTCGGGACAGTATCTCTGGAACGCAATGGCACAGTTTCAGAAACGAACCAATCCGCCCAGGAAGATGCATTTCAGACACGTGGCGAAAAAAGAAATTCTGTTTCCAGAGACAGTTTCCAAGCAACCGACGCAGGAACTCATCTAGTTTTTCCACTATGGGTCCATTTTATTGCCTGAGTTATGAAATTTTTTTTGGGGGGGGAAGCACCACCCAGCTTTATCTGGTTTGACTGGTCATGTTACTATTTACATGATAGGCTTTTATAAGCTTAGTCAAAGGCCTGGTGTTTAAACAGCCATTGTATCTCAGAATGGAAAACATTTATTTGAACAACCACCCAATTCCACATATGTCAAATCACAATTGTTCTCTCCAGTTCGGAATTTTCGGACTTAACTGAATCAAAACTGAATGACTTGGCAGATCAAATAGAAATTGTACTCTGAATATGATCTTTTGGAACTCTGGAAAGCTTCTACAATCGATGTTTAGCTTCACTTCTCTTGTAGTTTCCGCACACTTTTCTGTACTTTAGTCCCCTATAGTGCATTTAATTGCTTCAAGCCAGGAGTCAGTGTTTGTGATGTGATTTTAAAGAACAGTTTATGCTGGAGCAGCTGACCACTCCACTCTGGACCCTTTAGGGTTCCAGGTTTTCTCTGATGTCCCCCCTCCTGGGTCACTTCTCCGCTTAACAACCTGGAGCCTCTAAGCCTTTAAATTGGTTTTAAATCTGAACCCTCCTCAAACTACAGCCTGCTGCAATAACTATCTTAAATACCTATAAAGTTTGAACCACTCCACGAGTATCCCGTTGTCTTGAGCATTTATTTTGTTCATTTTGTATTTGAGTTTCTGGGAGAGGAAAAAAAACACACTCCAACACCTCATGATAACTGTGACCGGCTGGAGCATTTTTTTTCTTTCAGATTTTTTTTTGCCATATGATATGCTCTTGCTGTTATTGTGCAGGATATTTGCTCATTTTATCTAAAACTCCTGAGTAAACACACACACTGCACACATCATATTAGATCCACAGATTTCTGAGAAACAAAGCACCCTCATAAAGTCAAACCTTTGTTCTAAATAAAACCCTGGCGTATAAAATATTCAGTTGTTTTTTTAGTGAAAGATTTGAAAGCTCATTGTGTTTGTTTATTGAATAAATTCAGTAACTGATTATGAGCTTTGTTTCCCTGAAAAGGCCTGTAAAGATAGGGAGGGACTTTTCTCAGTGGAATGTCAAAGGCCAAATTTAGGTGGGGTTGTAAGGTCACAAATGAGAGGACATTAATACGTGTGCAAACACAAAAGACCAACAAAGGAGAAGGTTTCACACACACGCACACACACACACGTACACACACACACACACACGCACGCACAAGCTTGAGGACTATATTTGATAACCCTGCAGACGAAAACAACTGAAGAATGGAAGAACAAGCTATAAATCTTGATGGGAAATTACATCATCTGTCGCACGTGAAGGAAGTATTTTTGCAGAGAAATGCAATAAAAAGTGCAATAAAAAGAAATAAACTGTTGTGTACGTGTGTGTGTATTACCTCATTTCCCGACCGTAGCCTCGAAAACATCAGCAACATTTACTACGGGGGGCCGCCTGTTTGGGAATACCGCTGAGCAGATACTGTTATCAAGCTATCCCCCAGAGGGTAATCCACCTCTGGACAATCCCAGGTTTCTCTGGGATGCAGCTTCCCAGACTACTGCGTGCAGATGCCATTAGTTAGTGGCTTTGATGTGACCGTCGTATCTCCAACTTTCTTGTGAATGTTTCGTAATGACAAAGCCACTGAAGGTGTGCCTTTAATGCAACACTAATCCAAACCTTCATGTGTATTCATGGCTGAATCATGCTGGTTCATTAATTTCCTTTTTATTTATTTCCTGCGATTTCCCAAAAGTCAAAATAACAGGATATAATCTGTCACGTAATAGCTTTTATTTGAGCCTGCTTTAACCTCCTCACATTTCCTGCTCCGTCCAAATCGTAGGAGTATTTACTTGTGGGTCTCCTAGCTGCAACAACCTCGGCTGATGGGCATCTAAAGTATGCGCTCTCATAAAAGTGAATATAAGCAATCAATTTTGTATATGAGTCAACAAACAAGTGATTTCCTTTTTCCTCAATGGAGCATAGGGACAGAAGATTATTTGCTTCCCTCTCTTGCTTTTTAAAAACTCCTCTTGGGGTTGCAGGGGACCATTTTAGAGAGTCTCTAACCAACAACGTCTGACTGCATGGGAGTCTGTTGTGTTTGAAGAGCTATTTTCAGCATTTACAAGACCTGCACAGGAATGGATTTCTTCCTGTAAGCGTGGAGGAAAATAAAAGCTAATAACCGAGCACCTGGATGGTTGAACCGTCATTTCCAGTTGCCGGTAGACTCAAACAAAGAGTTGATTGTGAGGCTGGTCCAAAAAAGTCAAACAATGCTGCTTGGGTCTGGTGAGGAAACGTTTGGTGAGATGGTGCCGACCATAAAACGACAATGGAATCACAGCTTCGCACAAAAGTTCTGTAAATGCCATCGTCATGTGTCTGGTAGCAACTTATACTTCAATTTAAATAACTCACAAGACTTTATGGCAGGTACAGCAAGTTAAATAGTAGCAATGTCTTCCAAATAACCACCCAACAGACAGTTAGAGATACACATCACTTGTTTATATCACAGGTGCAAGCTCTCTACCAGTAAGAGGACCCATAAAGTCATTTAGGATCAAAACACGAAGGCGTGCACGGTTCATTCATCCAGCTTCTACCGGAATCAGCCATCATGAGCAATCCAAGGAAAACCCTCCCCAAAAGTCCTTATTACGACCAAAAGATGGAGAGCAGATGTCGAAAAGGTGTGTTTTCACCTGGTGTCACTCCACTCCACGACACAAATGCCTGGTTAAGGTTAGGCAACGCGGTTTCCAGTTTAGGCAGTAAAGCCGCTTTGTTAGAGATACAAACCAAACCAGATGGCCAGTACAAAAACACCATTGTTTGAGCACAAAACTCGTTCTTTCGCAACCCTTTTGTTGGGTTATTAATTTCTTGATTTCCAAAGGTGATGCATCAGTAGGAGATTTCACACGCAGCGGTTGCACAACGTTGGAGTTTTGCTACCTGCATCAACAAAAAAAAAGAGAAACAAAGGCCCACGGCGTGGAGCTGCAGCTAGCGGGCAGCTCGGGGCCAAAGGTCACCCGGCTGCTCATACATGACTCATTGACATCAGCTTCTTGCTTTTCTGTTTATTGGTGTGGGGAGAATTGTCTGGAGTCACAGCGTCCCGTAAACGGACACGACCAGGGTGCGAGTACGTGACAAGACGCAGGGGGAAAACATCCGTTTCTGGCTGGGCACCATAATCCCTGCTGATCATCTCCTCAGTGTCAGAAACTGGGAAGTCCAAAAGGCAAACACAACTTCGGATCTGAACCAATCCAAAATACGCGGCGAAATTTTAATTTTTTTTTTCTTAACCAACAAAAACAAACACTCCTTGGGGGAAGAGTCAAGCCATTTTCCTTCTCTTACTGAATATGTGAAGATAAAACTGCCACAGCCGCCAGCCTCATGCTTTGAACTCCCAGTCTTGAAATAGGTAACATACTTTTGAACAAAAGGCAATAAAAATCCACCTGTCAACACCACTGTAGCTGTGGGATTAACATGTTTGTTGAAGCATTCCTACAAACTGTTGTTTCCCGACACCAGTACCCAGAGGCCACAGGCCGACATGTTTTAGATGTTTCCCTCTATCAACGCTCCTAAACACCACACATAAAAACTAGAGGGAAGTTATGTGTGTGCACATTAAGCACACCACAAACATGAGGTCGCCATTGTTGGCTTGTTTTGTTATTGCTGCTGTTTTAATTTGATTAATTTTGGTCTAATTGGTGTACTTTTCAAAGAACTGTGACTTAACCCTTCTGCAAGGTGTCGGTTGGACCTTGAAGCTGGGAGAAAGCTATAATCCAGTTGTTTTTCATTTTTAAAAACAATATGTGGGTTGCCACACTGAATCTCAGTTACATTTAAACATCTTTTTTTAAATTCACTTTAAGGGATGGAATGGATGAAAAAAAACAGTCCAATCAATCAATTACATGAATGTGTTATACAAAAGAAAAATATTTGAACAACACCCAAGATGTTTTCTCCCTGGGAAAAATGCCTAAGGGAGGATTGGCACAAACCAGAAAGATGCTGCATTGTTCCGCCGAGCCGCCACACCTTCACAGTCACGACCTATTTGGAAATTTGGAAATGTCAGAAGAGGAAACAAATTGAGGAGGCCAGCATCACGCTGGCTGCAGGTGAAAAGACGACGAACACCCCAAAACACACACAAATCTGCCCGCAAGAGCACTGAAAGACAAAAAAAAGAATCTAGCAGCTACTGACAATTTTCTGTTTGGGTAATCACATTTTTTCTTTCAATGTGTCTTTTAGTAGAACCCAGACCTTTACACTTATTGCCATTGTTGTTCTTCTCCATTTGCCAACATGCAGACATTGATATATCGCACATGATCAGGTCAAATATTGCCATCTGGAACTTGTTACTGCTTGTATTATTAACTGTAAACAGAACTCTCAATGGATAAAACTGCTAATTTCCCTTTGTCTGGATTGTATGTACACAAGCCATTTTTACCCTGATGATTTTTTTTAACCTACTTGTGTAAATAATGAGCTCCAACCGAATTTGATGTTTTTTTCTTATTTGCTTTTTGGAAGTTACGCCTACTCACGTGTAAGCAAGCTGGACTTCAACATGCCCACAGATGTCTGAGAATCCAAAGCTTCTGTTCCCATGACGCAGGACATCTCTGGCTGCTTTACTCTCAGGTGTTGACATGTCAGAGAAAGGCCGGTGGCCCCGACATTTAGCATGGCAGCACGTGCCCTGAGCGATGTGTGTTTGGCTATTTGCACGTCTTTGGGGAAAAAAAAAAAAACTGGCATTACTTCATACAGTAAATTCCACAGAATGTTCTTATAATCAGTTGGGATAACCCCCTCTGGCCTTTGCAGAGGGGGCCTTTTCATACGATTCTCACTTTGAAGAAACACCTGCTCTGCAAAACAGGCTCACACACACACACACACACACACTCACACACTCACACAAAGCCATTTGGTCTGCCCCAACACACACGTACGCACACACAGACACGCACACACACACACACACACACACACACACTAATACAAAGACAAAGCCGTCTCTGCTCCTGTTCCTGATAAGTTTTATTACCATCAGATGACAAGCCCAGAGTAACTGCACGTGCAAAAATGTTTCAATTAGAGTGGCTGAGGATGCAGAAGATGCCGGGAAGACAGGAGGCCAACATGACGCAGATCATTTTGTAATAAAGCAATAAATCCTTAAGATAAATGCATTCCTTGGGGGACTAAACAAATTTTATAGCAAGAAAATGAAAAAAACGCACAGATTCCCCCCAAAACGAGCCAGTTTATTATGAGTTTAATTACTATCTACTACTACTACTACTATTACTTTGATTTAAACTAGAATGAAGCTATTTTTCTAACACCATGTGGAGTACCCCCTCCCCCCAGAAAAAACAACAACAAAAACAAATGAGGGATTGTCGCAAAAATAATATCACATTCAGCACCGCGTTTTTCCGCCTTTCTTTTTTTTTTTCAGAGACAACACAGAGGGTCCATTGTCTCGTTTACAAACGTTAGTCTCAAATTCTGATGCATTCTCTCCACAGTTCCCGTGAGGCTGTGGGTGTGGTCTGATAACAGGCTGCTCCACGCGTCTCTGGATGCGGGCATCTCCTCTCCTGCGCACGGCAGACTCCGCCCCCCCCATTCTGCCTTATAAAAACTACCCGCGGCTCACCGCCTGTCAGAGCATCTGTGAAGGCAGACAAGTAGCGAGTCTTCTTCTCACCTGAGTCCCAAAGACGAGAATCACGATGGAAGATCAGCGCATCTTGATCAGCGCGCGGATTTTGGGAGGCATCCGCCGGGAGAAACCAAAGCTCAAAGTGAGTATGAACGGAGAGATCTCAGATTGTCTTGATATTAAATCATGATGCTGATAGTGAGCCGAATCAGACTTTTAAATGTGTTCTTACTTCCACAGATGTTCATGGTGTCTGTCTTGTGGTCGGATGGATCTGAAGTGATCATCTACAGATCCTTTCAGGATTTCAAGACATTTCATGTAAGCTGAATTACACTGAAATGCATAATACTTTAATACAATTTGTAGAAAAGTTATAGGGTATATAATTGTCTTTGTCTAATCTTTAGCCTTTCATATTCATCTTCCAACAGAAACAGCTAAAGACAAGGTTCCCTAACACGAATCCTTTGAAGAAAACGGACAGGGTGATCCCTAAATTTAATGGTAAGCTGAATTTGTGATTTCATTTCTGCTACGAATGACTAACTAAATGTAGTTTGGCTTTTAAAAAAAGATTACACAGAAGAAATATTAAGATGTTTCTTGACTTTCCTCCAGGGAAGGCAAGGAGGAACAGCCTCCAGCAGAAGGGGTCCAAGAAGTCCACCGGGCAGATGAAGTTCTTGGAGACTTACTGCGACAAACTGCTCAAGTGTGGCCAGAATGTGACTCAGAGCCCGGACGTGACCCGGTTCTTCACGCCCAAAGACCACGACCTGCAGCCCGACTTCACCAAAAACACGTGAGTGTCCAGGGCAGCGGATCTGCAGGGGGCCGGCGGGGGGCCTCTGACCGTCGGCCCGGTCTAATCTCCCCTTCCCAACGCAGCGTGATGACTCTGATGTCCGACGATGTGTCCGGTGGAGGGGTGGAGGGGGGCGGCCACCAGGGTCCGGGCGGCATCACCCACCCCTTCGTCACGCAGACCTACCGCTGCGTGGCAGCCTACGAGACCAAGGACATCAAGAACCGGCCATTCAAGGTGGCCGTTGACGAGAAGCTGGACGTCCTGATCAAAGACCCCGCAGGTCAGAGCCCGAGCCTGTGCCCGTCTCCTGTCCCGCCGTTCCCCATTCGAAGCCACCGCGCTCATTCCCATCATTCCCTCCGGCAGGTTGGTGGCTGGTGGAGAGCGAGAACAAGCGCATGGCCTGGTTCCCCGCCCCGTACCTGGAGGTACTAGACGGAGAAGATGAGGATGAAGATGAGGATGGACTGACACAAGGTACGACCCTTCTTCGTGGTCACAGATTGAGTTGACTCTGAAACAAGAGGATGTATTTATTATTAACTACGCCATGACTCAGATGGGTGACATAGGGTTAAAGTTTCCTCTCCTAGTCCGCTTAACACTCTCTGCTTCCGTCTCCTAAGACTGCGTCCGTGTTTTTAAACGGTTCTCTCGCACACGCAGGAAGCCTCTACTGTGCCGTGAGGAGTTACTCATCCAGGAACAGCGATGAGGTGTCTGTGCCCATCGGCTGTGTGGTGGAGGTGCTCAAGAAGTCCGACGATGGCTGGTGGTTCATCAGGTATTTGAGTGTTTCTCTGCACGTTGTCATGCATCTTTACAGAGCGATTGACTTTTAGTCAAGGCAAGGCAAGTTCATTGGTAGAGCACATTTCACGTACAGTATATTTCAAAGTGCTTTACAAAGAATTTGAAAGCACAAGAACTAAGAAAGAAAATGAATTAACAAAATTAATTAGATGCATAGAAAGTGAAGTGCAGATCAAATCCATCAACCATAAGCATAGTTAAGCAGAACCGTTTTGAGACTGGGTTTAATCATTGTAAGAGTTGGGGCCTATCGCACTCGTTCAGGAGGACTGTTCTAGATTTTAGAAGCATGAAACTGAAATTAAGCCTCACCTTGTTTAGCTCCGACTCTGGGCACCAGCAAGAGACCAGAACCTGAGGTTCTCCGGGTCCTGGCTGGTTCATCCGGGTCTAACTCAGCAGTGTTTTAAGCCACCGCTCCTTTGTTTCCGCTCAGGTTCAACAGCCGGGCGGGTTACATCCCCTCCATGTACCTGCAGCCGTACAACAACCCGCGGGCCAACCTCTACGGCGTGCAGAGGAGGCTGCACAGCTCCACTCTGAACCTGGCCACCGCCAGCCAGGCCCCCCCTCCGGTCAGAATCCCAGAGGGGGAGGCGTTGGCGGGGTTGCCGGCGGCCTCCAGGCCCGGCTTCCCGCCGCACCTCCACAAGGCCCAGTCCCTGGACGTCCTGTCGGAGCCCTGGGAGCAGCCGCGGGCGGTCACCTCCGACCGAGACCGCGCCATGAGCCGCACCAGCGCCGAGTCGGACTTCTCCGACCTGTCCTCCAGCAGCGAGTCCTCCTCGGCCCTGCGGGAGGCGCGCCCGTCCGGGGCCAGCGACGGCAGCCCCGACTGGACGCTCCCCGCCCGCCGCAGCTCCAACACCAGCTCCCACAGCTCCAACAGCTCCAAAGCCAGCGAGGCCTCCTCAGCCGCCCCCAGGGTGCCCCCCAGACCCAAGACCGAGGAGATCCTGACCCGATGCACCACCATGACGCGCAAAGCCGCCCTGGCCACCAAGACCCGGCTCCACGTCCAGCCAGACTCAGTCCACAGCCGCTAGGAGACCACAAGAGGCCCGTTCAGGCTTTAACCGAGTTAGATTCTTCCTAATACTCGCACATATTTATACCGTATCATAGAAAAAAGGTGTAAACTCTTTAATCAGAAGGTAAATGGGGTTTGAGCACTGTGTATTGATTTACTGTTATGTTAGAAAAAATGTAAGCGGCCCGGGCAGGACCAAGATAAGTTGATCGCCCTAAAGGGCTGTCTAGATATGTTGTGTTTAAGTCAAACAAAGCCTGACATTTTAAGTTTGTCAGGTGAAAAACGTAGCTTCAGTGAAGCCTAAGTGGTAGAAGGGGAATGCATGTGTTATACTGGCTTTAAAGGACGTTGGGAATATAAATCAGCTTTGACTTTCTATTCTTTTTTTTCCTTTTTATCGCTGTTATTATTCTGGGGACAGTACTTCATGATAGATCATATGTATTAAGACTTTCTCTGCTTTGTAAAGACTGTAGCATTGTTTTGGATACTGCACTTTGCAAATTTGTACACTGTGTTTAAACAGTTTCTGGTTACACAAAGGAATGGCTCAAGAAAAGCCAGCGTGTTTGTGTGAAACATGTTTGTGTGGCCAGACGGAACTCTGATTTCTTATGTTATAGTCATCTGAAAAACATATATGTATGTATATCAAACTGCTTTATTTGACTAATAAATTATATTTGAGAAAATCTCACTATGTGGCTTCATAAGATATGAAAGATGAATAAAACAATACTTCATCTGAAGAATTGCAAAGGTTTATGTAGATTTTGGTGTGCATCACATCTCAGGTAAATCAAAGAGATAAACAGAAATTATATTAGATAAATGTAAAAATTTTAATGTAAAGTTTATAAACAATGTATTGTGTTTTAAAGGCAATGCCCTAAACTATATGAACAATGGTTAAGATAGGCCTCTGATTAGTTTATAATGTAGCATCTTCCTGTGATGCGGTGGATCTAATTAAGTTTTATTTAATAAGTTCAGGCAAAAGATCATACATACCCAGCACTCCTTTTTTTCCTCTTTTCTTGGCCTGTCCCATTGTATGTTGTGTGTCCAGAGTGAAGCAAGAAACGTGCAAGTCTGGAGCGACAACAATCTGTGGGGGAATCTTTTCCCTGTCATGGCAAAACTGAAGTACGTAACACAATCTGCAGATCTCAATGAATGGATCCGAATCAGTGACCTGTTGAAAAGTTGCTCTGAATTGTAAGAGCAATAAGGAAAAAAAAATCCTCCCATCCTTTCAGTGGAACTGCAGGTAAAGGAAAGTGTTTGGGAACATAGCTATGTATGACGTGTGTTGTTTGCGCTAATAAAGACTCCGTGAGCTCAATTTGGATGCACCCATTTGACGACATTCAAAACGACAGAAACAATGAAAATACCTGAGAGAAAATTGCATCTAATTGTTTGTGTAATTTGCACAGGCATTCAAAGCCAAGCCTCCAAGTAAATGTATGGCACACACTGCAGAGCCAGAATCAGAATCTGTGGTGACAAAGACGTAAAAATACAGACATTTAAACCATCTACAATACATTCTTTGAGTTAATTCTTTTATGGGGAAGTCAATTGCTGCTTCTAGAACTGGCTGTTGAAAAGAGCCCCACAAAAATAGGACTATTTAAATCACCTGCTCTTACTTTATCCTCAGATGTGTTTAGAAAACAACCAAAGTGAATTGTGTAACCAAATAGTTTCTGCTGATACTGATGAAGTCAAATTTCCTCTTTAAAAAAACTGCTGCTCTACATACAGACAATAAGAGGAGCGACACAGAACACGTCAGTAGCATGTAGAGTCAGATGTAAACTTCTTTCCTCTGTCTCATCAACGTAATAATGGGTGTGGTGAAGAATACAAGATCCCACTGAACACACGCATGACCTTTAGAAACCGGTTCCAGTGGAACCAGCTCAAAACTATCTCAATGTCTGTGTTTTGAATAGATTAAAGCTCTTATAGTTTGGCTTCATCTTCTTGGTGTGTCATAATCACAATCATTTTCCTCCTGTTCTTACACTAGAATGTGAGAGTCCAGACAAATGCAGGAGGGATCCATTATAAAAAACATGACCCACGCAGACCACCTGACAGGGAGACTGTCAATTTAAAAATGGAGGGTCAGGGATTTGTTTCTTTGCAGTTTCTGGGAAACAGAGCAACTCTTTCTGATGTATGTGGGAAGTAGCCACCTGGCAAACTACGATGCTAAATGTAGCATGGAACAGCAGCTTATTCATCCTGCATGCAGATTTAGCAGGTAGAAGAGCCGGTGTTCTACGAGAACCAGCAGCTTTTACCCGAAAAAACGAAAACATGCAAACAAGATCGTGTTTATCTGATATTGACAGAGATTTCTCATTTATTCAAGAGGATGAGCCTAAGGGGGAGTTGTGTTAAGCAGTGCTTTAGAGTGTACAGCCTATGAACACACATATAAGGATGCTAATCATCGGTTCACAACAGCTACGTCTCACGTTAAGAATGTGCAGGATGGATAAAGCACAATTATATGAGCAGAATCTTTTTTTTTTTTACCTTTGTGCTTTCTTCTTTTCTTCATGGCTCACCCTGGATGAAGATTTTAGCACAAATATTGTCTGAGGCAGTAAAAAGTAGTAAAAAAAAGTAGTATAAAGTAGTTGTGCCGGACTTGTTCTCTTAGCTAGAAGTACAGATTTCCGTTTACAGATTCTGTGCTGAAAATGCCACTTTGGATGCAATGGTGGAAAAAAAAAATCACTGATCATTGATAACACTAGCCTAAAAACAGATTAAAGGGCTTTCTTCAGACTGTGTTATCAGGCATCAGTAGGACTAGGCCAGAAATCATCAAATCTCATCTTTAAGGGCTGCTGCCCTTCAGGTTTTAGATGTTTCCTGTTTCAGCACACCTGACTCAGATAGATTACTCAAAAGCCTGTTCAGTTCTACTCAAGAGTGCTAATGGTGCATAGAATTGTTGGGTTTCTGTAAATAACTTCAGAGTAGGGTCTGACCTGCTCTGGTTGGAAAGTGCTGTGAGACAACTGTTGTTGTGATGTGGCGCTATATAAATAAAATTGAAATTGAATAGATTAAAATCAGGAGAACGAGAAATCTGAGCATCATTTCAGGCTGCTATATGTTGTTTTTAAAACACGACAGCAGTTCTAAGTGTTAGACCTGAGCATAGGTTACGCTTTCTGTATTGTTCCTGTCAACAACAAAAGAAAAAAAACGCATTTGCGAAGTCAACTCTGCCACGTGTGCAACAGTCTAGTGGCTTTGCCTTATTTGGCCAATTGCTTCGCGGACATCAAATGTCCAGCCACCCACTTGTCTGCCTTTACAACCTAATTCCCTTTTACTAAAGATTAACTGGGTTCAAGACAAGGGAAGGAGCATTCCGTTGCCTGTTTGGCACGGGATTAGCTTTAAAATGTGCGCCTTTGATGTGTCCAAGGTGAATTTATGACTCCAGCCTATCCCTGCCGTCCTCGGACAAGAAGCGGGATACATCCTGGGCAGATTTTCAGTCCATCGCAGGGTCACACAGAGATAACCAACTACACATTCCTTGGGCCAGTTAAGAGTCTCAAAGGAACCTAACCATGGTTCCATGCATGGTTTTGGATGGTTACTTTTTCATATTTCCTGCTTCCACAACGCTGTTGCATAATTTTGTGTCACTTGTCAAAGGAGCCATTGTCGGCCTTGTCACAGGCAAGATCGAAATCTTTTTATTCTACCGTGCATACAGAAAGTGAAACCGAACGAGCCTGAGATCGTTGAGTGGATTGAGTGTATGTAGACTAAAATCCAAAGAAATCTGCAAGCCAGCATTCCAAACTGTGCAGCCGTTCTTATGTGGCAGGATTTGATGATCCCGGATTGAGTTTTCTCAGGTCATGTCCAGAGCTTTGACATGAGAATACCGCAGTTCCACTGACACACTGGAGCATGTGTCCTAAAGACCCTTATAACCTGCAGAACACAGGCGCTTTGTGAAACACAGAAAAGGGAAAAAAAAAGTAGATCTCAGTATCTAATTCGGCATACATCGAAAGCTCTATAGTTTTTTTTCTCTTATTTGTTCAACTCCATAATGATATTTGAGCAGTTGGTTTATAGCTCTTGATATCAGGTCAATGGTCGAACGAATGAAAGGACTTTACGCTGAATCATGAAAAGATAACAAAGGCAAAAATAAAAAATTCAATGTGCAACAAACATTCAGCTTCGCGCCTTCTTATCATTAGCTATTAAGAAAATACGCTGTTCATCAAGTCTGCTGAGTTTTTTTTTTTGCATGCAAATTCATTGCCATCCTTTTTAAAATTGTAGATTCCATATTACTGCCAAAGATCATCAACTGGCAGAAAAAAGAAACTACAGAAGGGTCAGGGTTTCTGCACACCACTCTAAACTCAGATTGTCCGTCTGCATATGGCTAACTAAGATGACATTCTTGGTGCTTTCTGATGTGTATGGACACGTACACCATCATAAAAGTGCTTGCTTTTATTCGCTGTACGTACAAGGAAGAAGGTGAAAGGCCAATTTCCTTAAACGAGAACCCTACGACCGGTCTGTTTACTTTACGAGGGTTAGTTATTGTCAAAGGGATCTCGGCATTTACTGAAAAAAGATAAGGAAACCCGAGGAGAATGATTAGTCAGGCGTGTGCGAGTGATCACTGATGGGAAGGCATGCCCTCAAGACACACATTTTTATCTATCGGCATATCAGTTACTTGAATACACACTTGTTGGCAGGTGGATCGTGTGTCATGCTTGCCCTGACCTTACACCTTGGGAATTTTTCACCTTAAATTAATTGGATGTGAAGAAAGATAATACTTTTTCAGGAAACAAAGGAATAAACATAATCAAACCCCACTGAACCTCTTCCATTACTCACAACTGGCTCACTGCTGAGACTGTTGTGTTGTAAAGATGGTTGACACGTTAAAAAAAACATAATGCCATCAAACTGAGTGTTAACAGGCACAGAAAAGGATCATATCCTTATAAGTTAGATTGTGAGAGAGGAGCCACTTCCTTGTCGTTGGTAGAATGGGTATAAAAAATGGTCAAAAGAGAATTTGCATAAGCTCTGCAATGCATTCAGGTATCTATGATCTGATTTAGAGTTTCCTTATTTGAAACTACTTTGGTATACTTCCTTAAAGGAACTGTGTGAGTAATCTCTAGAGGCAGGATCTTATTTTAGCTTGTGTAATTCTCTTTGTGTTTTTTTTTTTTTTTGGAACAAAGCTTTTTTTTTTCCCAAAGGCAACTGCTGGCATTGGACCGACTCACTGTGAAGGGTGTAGGCAAAACCGGTAAATGGGTGGATGGATGAAAACATACTAAGCAGGATTTTTTTCTGTCAGGCTGTTGGGACTTCTGATGTGGAGATGTGCGCGTTATAAAACTAATTCACATCTAACTTTTTTGGGGAACAAACATACTTGCATTCCCAGATCTGTTCCGTTTCAGCCTTACATCTATATATTTTTTAAACATTTGACCTGATTTATTTGATACTTTAAATATGTAGAAAGCCAAATAGCTTCATGGACATTCTAGAACCTTCCTTAGCAGGAAGAACAGTTTGCAAATGAGGAAATTTCTTTCACTGCCAAAGCTGGCAGACTTACATAACACGTCTTAACCTGAAAGTTTTACTTTCTTTAATGAACCTGTAGAGATTATGTCACTTTATGTAATCTCTAATAGAAATCAAGATTACACAAACAAGGTTGCAATACTTCTTTAACGGATGCACATAATGCACTGAATGTGGACTAAAAACTAAAAATATCAATAGTAAAAAATAAGAATAAGATTAAAAAATAGATAAATAAACAGACAGACAGACAGATAGATAAATAAGTATTAAATGCATAATCTTTAGACACTCAGACAGCCATGCATTAATAAAAAAAGAAGGCAGAAAGAAAGAAAGAAGTTGTGAAAACTGCTGCACAGGCTCAGGAACACCTCCAAAAATCCCTGTCTGTGAACACAGCGTGTGCGTGTCAGGGCTCTGTCTCTACAAGTCACAAACTGCAGCAGACGCTGGGATACATAAAATATTCAAACCGCTTTTCAAACGGCCGATATGCCAAAGTGATGGATTGGTATGTGTGCCACAACGCTTGCACAGATACTGAAAGGAATAAGAACCTGCCAACAACTAAAAGTAAACCAGAGTTCACGCACCCTTTGAACCTGAACGCACACCAATGCCTGGTGCCATCTAGTGGTCAGATAAGTTATCATAGAACTTTGTGACGTTGCATTGAACCTAAACTTGGACCTTTTGACCCATAATATCAAGTTAGAAGAAAATCAGTCTCAGTTCAGTAAATGAAGAAATTCTATGGAGATGTTCCTGAAAGAACACATTTGCAACAATTGGACAAAGAGACCGACAGTAAAAATAGAATAATGGCTGTTAAAGCCTACAAATAACTGCTAACTCACTCTGATTTGGTTTCTACGATGGAGCGGAGGACGTGGTTCTCCGTGGCCCGGGTAGAGTGGACGCCCTTCTCCAAACTCACAAGAGGTTCACTGTTTCTGTATTCACTGACCTCCTGCCTGCACTATTCTTCCGGTTTTCTCTTAAATGAGTCGGTTTCATTGATTCAGTTACCAGAGTTTTCAGACGAGGGACTCCTGGTGTTCATGGCCTCCACGAACCGGGCTGGACGTGCCTTATTTTTATTTCTGAATGGTGGCAACCATCCATCCATCCATCCATCCATCCATCCATCCATCCATCCATCCATCCATCCATCCATCCATCGCGCTGCACAGTTCATTAATGAGAAGTCATTTCCAATTTTTTTTCATGTTTACTGTATAAATCATTTATAATCTTTATCTTTTTGTACAAAGTTTGTCATTGCAACTTAGAAAGGATGCATTTAGAGCCCAAAAATCAATCAGTCCTTTATTATCCAAAGTCCCTCTGAGCTGCAAACAAGTCAAGAAACATATATATTTTTTCTATTGATGACTGAAACATTTGCAAAATGTACAATTTGTCGTTGTTCACTCAACTGACTAGAGTATTTTCTTTCAGATGGCACAACCATACATCTAAATATCTACTGGGCTAAACGTTGGACTTAGAAACTCATCAGACTCAAAGTTTTTCTATATGTCTGCCAAAGAGCTCCTGAAACCTAAGGAGAAAAAACTAATCGGACTGGACGTAATGACAACAGAATGCTTTGAACCTGCTTTTGTACCTTTGCTTTCTAACGCGTATGGACGATGAGGCACTAGTCGTGTCCCGCTCTGGTCACCTCACACAGGATCTCCTCTATGGACTCTGTGGAGGAGCTCTGGGAGCGCTGGGACTCGTAGGCTTGCGGTCTGTCCACCCCGGAGAACATGAGCGGTAAGTAGATGTCGTCCATATTTGGCAGAACGAAGACTTTCTGGTGAGGAAAACAAACATTCTGAGGAAAAGAACGTGGCTTTGGTGACTTTGGGACTCGTTTGACTTCTTTACCTGGAACTCGTCCTTTAGTTTTCTCTCAATCCACTCGGTCACATGGCAGAAAGTGACCTCCCGCTCTCCTAGCTTTGGGCGCACGTGTAGATCCAGTTTGGGTGGCACACAGAAGCTGTACCTGGAAAGGGAATTGTTCACCGTTTCAAATAAAAATGATTGTCGCTAATCACTGTCTCTAATCCTGCTAGATTATTATCATTATTATCGAGTTTGTGGAGTTTCTCCCTATTTTTAACTTTTTAGTGTCATTTAAATCACCAAATATCAAGTTTTTTATGATGCTTTTTTACTCTCTTTTCATCCACAGCATCTAAAACGTGCGGAAAAAAACCACATGTCTGAAACCACGTGTCAATTCAGAAGACATCAAACTGACTTGTATTCGTTTGTGAGACATATGTGAGTGTTAAAAGCTCAGTGGGCCGTAATCTTTAATCTTGCTATTGAATAAGCTTCAGCGGTTGATCTGCTTACGCAGCACATTTTTCCCCAAGGACTTCTTCGTTTATTTGCGTGACCGCTGGGGCAGCTTATCTGCGTCAACACCGCAGGTCTGACCCCGCCTGGCTTCCTGCGCTGAGTCAGCTAGTTGCTGCCTGTGGTCCGTACCATATCCTGTCGGTAGGGGGCGGCGGGATGTTGACCACCAGGGACCCCGACAGCTCTTGGACCTCGACAGAAAGCAGCAGGGGGGTGTTGGACATCTCCTCGAACTTCTTCTTGATGAACTCGTTCTCGGCCGCCTTCTGGAAGTACTTTGATTTGGCTATTTTGTCCACGAATTTCAAAATCTTCCTTCCAGTCTTTCCTCCCCCTGTCCTGCAGAAGGGGGGGGATTAGAGGAGAGGAGGGTGTTAACGTGGTGATTCAGACGCTAAAGTTAGAAAAAATAAATAAGTCTGAGGGAAACTGACATGGAAATGGAAGCACGAGCCATCTGGAGTGCGACGTGGGCACAGTTTATTTCCTGCTCTCGGAAAATAAGGATTCGCAAATCACAAGTAACACTTCCTACAGGAGTCTACTGAGAAATGTCTCCTTGTGAGTGGTTGTTTTTGCTGCTCTACGGGGCTGAAATCTAACTCATACATTTTCATTTCATGCAATCGAGGTGACGTGCTTCCCTGATGTTACACTAAATGATGTTAGTAATGCACAGCCTTTAGCGGAACCAGCATGTGCAAAATTAGGCAATCCTTTCTCATTTGAGGCGCGAACGGCCTGAAACTCTGTGCGTTTACCCTTCGGCTGGCGGTGCGGAGCCTTTCTCCCCGGCCGAACCCAGAGGCTCAGAGATAAGCAGCTCCTCTTCGTCTGATGAACCGGCACTGGAGGACTCCTCATCGCTGTCCGCCAACACACTCAGAACGGGCCTGGAGCTGAGAGAGCACACACACACACACACACACACACACACACACACACACACAAGGTGGAGACAGATGTTGACGGAAGCGACCCCACTGGTGTAAGAATAGCTTCTTTTTTTTTTTTTTAAACAAAGTTTATCCCTCCATTTTGTGGAGCAAATCCAGGACTGATTGAAAATGTCACACGCGTTTAAAAAGATATGACGCGGGGCTTTGTGTGGACTTATTACAGGTAAGTCTGCGCTAATCGGTGTAATGTGTGTGGATTACGCACCAGAGGTTTGAGAGGCGTGAGTTGAGTGTGGGATGCTGCACCGAGGACATCATGTTTATTGCATTCTGGACTACGCTTGCTAAATCAGACACACAACACAGACCGTATACAAAGAAGGACAAAACGTGACACCACTCATTGCTTTCTTTTGAGACCTTAGTTTTCCTCCAAAAAAGGACTTTCAGCTTTGGCAAACCCCTTATGGACTTTAACCAGGAACCTGTGGTGACCACACTGAAAGAGTGGGACAGTGGGAACATAAAAAGTTTTTCGAGCTAACCACAAATTTATTGTTCTCTTATTTTTCCACTCTCCTTCACGTTTAGATAAGTGACACGGCATAAAGATTAGGATGAAGATTGGTTCCACTCTGGCCCTGAATACAGCCCCACTGAAACGTCACATGGTCTAAAAAAAGGTCTTCGCATTAGGTAAAAGCTTCACTCTATATTCAAGACATGAGGACCTGTCATGCAGTGTTGGCCTATGGTTCGAGTGGACCACTGACCGTGGGCCTCCGCTTTCGGTCCAGCAGTGGGGCGTGTCCTGGCCGCCCTCTTTCCCCAGCTTTGACAGGTTGAACTTGGTCTGCAGGGTCATCTGCAGGTTGCCGGTGTAGGCCAGCTGCAGCTGCAGCCACAGACCTGCAGGGGGCAGCGCACAGAGGGGAGGTTAAGTCCAGACGCGTCACCGTATAGGCAAAGCCCCCACGTACGGCCTAATCCGGACACGCTGCGCTCAGTAGGCAGATTAAAACGGCTTTCGCAGAGATCATCGGGCCTTAAAATGACATTTATTATAAATTAAGGCAGATTAAAAGTCCTGGTTAGGAGCAAACATGTGTGAGCGGAGCAGACCTCAGATTGTACGACAGTAAAGATGATGGAGAAAAAAAAAAAGAGAAATGCTGAGATTCTCAAATTCAACTCATCATCACAAATCTTTTTAGATTGCCGGATTTGAAAAAAACCCCGAAAACACACACTTTCAAATGTGCAATATAAAAGTCGAGGCGGTGGGCTAAAGGCCGCCCAGTTCTGTAAGATTACGATGGGATAACAGGGTGGAATTTGATTCGGCGCTCGGCTGCAGTAACTATAAAAGCGGGTCATCCTCTCTCTCGTCCCTTGTGGCAACACGTGTTTCCATTTTGGCTTGCCTGCGTTTTTTTTTTTTTTTTTAAATCTCCGGCCCGTACTCACCTCTATGGTTGACCTCTGGTCTGGAGGTGGCGGTGATTTGGGGCATGGAGCAGCCCATGTCCAGCTCCGTCAGAGTCAGCTCGTTCATGAAGTAAGGCAGCTGTTGAACCGTTAAAAAACACGGGGAAGAAAAGTTGAAAATGTGGTATATTTAGATGTATAGCTTTCACAAAAACAAAAAAAAAACAACGCTCGCACTCTGATTTTGCTGAGCTTCTTCTGAATCTTGTGGGAGACGGCGTCGGCCCAGAGCTTCTCCCGCAGAAAGTCCCAGAAGATTCGACCAATGAGAGCGTTAGCCCACGCCGTGCTCAGGCTTTGTCCAGCATACTCGACCAGATCGCAGGTACACTGAAAAATGAAGAAAATAGCTTCTATTTAAAAATCCTTCCAACTTCACCTCTTTGAAAAATAACTTTGCAACATGAACATCTAGTAATAGATCCAAACCAGCGGTCACTGTTAGAAACCCGTCCTACCGTCCCTGTGATGGTGGGGCTGGCCTCTGTGCTGCTGCCGCTGGGGCTGGACAGGGGGCTGGACAGGGGGCTGGGCTCCCCCGCGGCCAGCAGTGCGGCCATGTATCGGCTGTAGCTGAGGGCGGGGCGGCCCCTGCTGCTGGCGGGGGGGGCGGGGGGCGTGGAGGGGCCGTCCTCGTCGCTGCTGCCCACTCTGCTGGGGCCTCTGCTGACCGGGGCCTGGGCCGGGTGCGCTGGGTCACCTGGAGGAAGGCCGGACGACGAGAGCCAGGTGGGTCATTCACAGATGGGTCATGGAAAAGTAAACGCCATTTGAAGGATTTTTCACACCGTCACTAATAACAGTTTGCAAATGACCCCCCCCCCCTTTTTTTCTTTCTTTTATGGGTCATCCGGTATTAAGTCAAGAAAAACCCACTTCAGAATAACTATTGTTTTCCTTGCTAATTATTTTAGCACAAGGAAAATTATTTCAAACAAATTATGTTACGTGTTGAAAATAATAAATGATGTTAGATACACCACTGTTTTTTTCTTTTTTTGCTCAGGTTTAAAGGTGGAATTTTACAATTTTTTAAGCATACCAGCCTAATGCATATGCTCTACCTTAATTCACAGTGATGACAAATCCCCGCTTTTCCATGCTAACCACTCAGAGCTGTCTTTATGTCCCTCCTGACTCCATACATGAACAGGACGGAGTTATCCGAGTTATTTTCAGCTAAGCGTTGAACAAATCAAAGACTTGCTCGCAAACCATTGGTAGAAAGAGCATACATGCGCTTTTTCCAACCAAAAGGCCGGTTTGCCCTTGATGCTCAGTATTAGCCTGGTTTTGCCAAAACAAGGCTTGTCCGATTATTTCTAATCCCTCTGAATCTTCAGATTATGAATTCCTTTGACAGAGATTGGCTTTGGAATGGAACGAATTGGAGCATGTAATCCATAATCCAGGCCCCAATATATAGTGCTTGTGTGGATGTCTTATCTAATGGCCTTCTCTCCTCTCCCACAACGCATTATTATAAGTTCTCCTACCTGATTGGGGCAAACATCTGCCGGCTCTCTGTCCGCCCTCGTCTCTTTCCCTCTCTTTATCTATCGACGCGAGCTGGAGATGACGAAACCACTCTTCTTTCTCCCTTCCCGTGCGCCCAAAGAGGTAGAGCGTAGCAGAGGGGTCCTGGGTTTGTTTCAGATCTGGGCTGGCTGCTGGTTCAGCTTCCGGCCTCTCCTCCATGTTCTCCACTGACCCCCCTCGCTCCTCTTCCTCAGGTTTTAACCCGCTGGCCAGCTGCACGCAGATGGGATATTTTGGGTTCCACACCCTCTTCCGGGCAAGCATTGGTGGCAGTAGGAATATCTTTATTTTAAGAAGAGAAAAAAGAAAAGAAAACCAATGAAAAAGAAACTGCAAAATGAGCAATACTATTACGCATCGCCTTAATTAGCGAGGGATGAACACCTTAGAGTTTGAGCTTATTTCCAAGAAATGCCTCATTATAAAAAAAAAAAGCTTTTATTCTACCCGTATTTGCTTTCCGTGAGTGACTGTTTATACACTGAGGCAGTGTACTAAAATGTCACGGTAAATGTCATTTGGAGATCCAGCCATCAATTATTCAAAAACCCATCCATTCATGTGTTCATTAATTTGACACTAAACACCAAACGGTAAATTCCCGCGCTTTTCATCTCCCTTTTTTTTTTTCTCTGCTGGAACCGAAGCTTTCAAGATTTAGAAATGCTTTGGAAGCAAATGGATTTTCTTCTCGCGTACCAGAAAACTGGCATTTGTGGTGTGAAGGAGGCATTAGTGAGGTAAAAGGAATGACTGTTCATTTACTAACTACACATCTGAAAGTCCAGTGTGTCCCATGTCCTGAACATCAGTTATAAAACAGAACAGTCTCAGAGACAGCACAGATTCCTTTCACGGGGCTCCTGAATGGATTGTCCATACTTTGCTCTTTGATAGCTGAAGGCAGCGGGACTTGGTGAAGGCGGCCTCGGGGATCCTCTCGTCGTACGCCGCCCGGCGCCGGACGTTGCTGCGCGGGTAGTCCAGGCGGAGACGGGAGCCCTCCAGCGAGGCGAAGACCGAGTGAGTCAGGGCCGGGTGGCAGGTTTCTGGGTCATAATCGCAGATCTCGTTCATCCAGCCCTGAAAAAAACAACAACACCGCCACGAAAAACGTCAAACAGAACGTGCTCATTTTAACCGCCTGAGAAATAAACCCATTATTATGAATTGTACAAGCTTACAAAATAATTAGTTGACGTTTTGTAATTGGCCGGAGGCGTTTAAGCAAAAAAACAAACAAAGAAATGCATTATTTCTGAGTTCCGCTTCTGGATCTCAGAGTTTACCGTCACGGTCACACATAACAAATGTAAAACTAAAGAATGTGAAACGGGGCAGACATATGGCTCGCCAAGCTATGTGTGTCACCAAGACTGTGAACCACTGTAAACAAACTCTTCTGGGTTAGGTTGATGGATTTTAACCCATTTTGAACACACACACAATCAGGGAATTTTGGTGGAGTTGCGATGCAAAGATTGCTATTTTTTGGCACCAAAGTGATAAGTAAGGTTTCCTGACAAAGTTGGCACTGAATTAAATATCTATCGGTAATTGAGTCCTTACAGAAAACTGAATTAAAGAGATGCAGAAAGTAAAAGCTTTCGGCCATCTGTGGCTCCAGCAGCCTCCTTTCGAAGAACAGACATGCCACAAAGGTGACAGAAAATTCTAATTCAGAGTTCAGTTTGTGTTTAAAAGCGGCCTACTTGTGTTACTTTTTATCATAAAGACAACTCGGTTCAGTCTGAAAAGCACTCTGTAGGTTTGGCTGGAGCTCTCTGTCACTTCTCCCTTCAGACTGAAAGCATTCTGCCAATGATTAAACGCTAAGACAGTGAACTATATACATATATATATCCCCCCCCCCACCGCTTTCCTCCCCCAACCTGCCCAGCTCGCCGACAAATTACAGCCCACTCCTGCTCGTGTTCCCCGCTAATTGCCCCTGGAGCTGACAGTATTGGTCGGTGGCCCCCCCGTCAGGCCCGGGCAGAGGGAAGGGGGTAATTACTGCCTCACATCAGAACGGCTCCTGGAGCTCTCACTCTCTGAGGTCTGCAGGCCTTTGTCAGCAGCTCTAACTAGCGGTGACGTCACCTGACCCGACACTGTGGTGCTGACCGGCACAGGTGAAGAAAACAAAAGGGCCAGCACCCTCTGAGACAAGTCTCTTTTTATTTTCCAAAGCTATCTGAAGGAATACGCCTGTGGGGTTGTTGACGGATATTCCTAAACTCCTCTTTGGATTTTTTTACTGAATTTTCAGCCCCTCTTGTGCGTCTATTGGTATTCCTCAGCCTTATCTCCCCGTTTCCCTGCTTCACAAAGCGAGTGCAGCGTTTGGTGGGGAAATGCTGCTGGGTTTTAAAAAGATTTCTTTAAAACCGGGAAACTGGACATTAGTTTTGCAGCTCTACCAATGTAATCTTTGTGCAAAACCTTTGTATCCGATACCCTCCACAGCAGGGTTTGGTACCAATAGCTGGCCATCTTAATACACTCTACATGGAGTTATTCCTTTTTTGTGTCAGTTTAGTAACAGTTAAAAAAATAATACTTTGTTTTTTGTCAAATGATACCATTAGTATCAATCTTCAATCCTAATCCAATTGAACCTGCCCCATCTAGCTGCTGGGGTAATGTTAGAAATACTTATTAGCCTGAGATGCATGTTTCTGGGTGGTGTGAGGAGGAAGAGGTTGAAGGATCTGACAACCTTCCTCGCTAAAGAGCACAGACTAATATTCCCAGCTTTAATGAATCAAGTATGAACAGCGAGAAAAGACCATTTCTTGCCTGTAAGATCCAGGTCTTTTCAAAATTGCTGGAAATAGCTGGGGAAATAAAGGGATGTGGACATAATAATCAAACCTCGAGAAGGAGTGGAACGAAAACTTAAATTCAATAACTGATGGCGTCTATGGAATCTAGGAGCCGTGGACAGGAAATGAAAACCTCTCCCCCCTGGTACCTGGAGGGTGTCCGGCTCCCTGCTCCAAAGGCCGGCGGTGGGGGCCCCTTCGCCGGCCGGCGCCGGCGTGGCCCCTCCCACGGCCGGCGGGGCGGGCGGCCTGGAGGAGGCGGTCCGGATGAGGAGCAGCCCCAGCAGGAAGCCCAGGGCCAGGCCCAGGGCCACGCCCGAGCAGTAGGGCCCCAGCGGCAGGATGAAGTAGCCGTAGGACAGCGCCGCCACGCAGAGCAGGCCCATGCGCGGCAGAGGGTGGGGGGAGGGGGGCGGGGCCTGCGCCCGGGGGTCCCCGTCCGGACACGCCTCCGGCCGCTGGTCCTGGGGCCGGCGTTTGCGGCCGTGCAGGGGGCAGCGGGGGCCGCGCCGGCGTCCGGCGGGGGGCCAATCGAACGCGGGCGGACCCTCGGCGTCCGCCCGCCTGGCCTTCCCCGCCGGCGGCTCGGGGGGGACGGCCTCGGCGCCCCCCTCCCGGTGTTTGGGGCTGCCCCCCCCGGCCCCCTCCTCTCTCTTCATCATGCCCAGCACGCTGCTCAGCGGCTCCTGCATGGCCTCCGTCAGCTTCCTCTTGGTGTCCTCCAGCTCCATCTTGAAGAACCCCCCCCTGGGGCCGTCCTCGGTGGGCGACAGCGAGCTCGGCGACGGGGGGGCCGTGCGGGAGTCCCCGTTGCTGCGGCCTCTGGCCTGGGTCAGCTGCTTCCACAGGTGCAGGTTGAGGCGGGAGTCGGACCTGGACTGCGACACCTCGGGCTCGGAGCGGGAGATCTCGGTGGAGATGGACTTGACCAGGCTGAGGAAGGGCCGGGGCCGGAGGCCGCAGCCCTCCTTCGGCTCCAGCTCGGTGGACAGCGACTTGACCAGGCTGGCGAAGGGCCGGTGGGTGGGCGAGGGGGGCCCGGGGGAGAGGAAGCCGGGGGCCCCCGGGGAGCAGTTCCCCAGGGAGCCGGGGGAGGAGGGGGACAGAGGGACGTGGAAGGTCTGGGACTTTGGCCCCCCGTCGTCCTCGGAGGAGAGCGGCCTCTCCTTGGAGACGGTCACCGACGGGCAGTCCTCGTCGTGGTCCAGCGAGAAGATGAGCTCGCTTTCGTCCAGGCTGTCCCACTGGCCCTCTGTCCCGGTCAGGTGGATCACAATCCCTCTGGGGAGGTGTCTTTTGCTCCCGTGGGAGGGGGCCACACCTGGGCAGAGGCCGCCCTCGCCCTCGCCTCCTCCTCCGGCCACGCTCTTTCCGCTCTCGGCCATTTCTCCTCTTTACATCCCCACGCCACGGCGCCCGGCCGGTCCCTGAAAGAGAGCAAACGGAGACCACAGCCGGCTCGATCATCAGGCCCGAGAGAGGGAACATATAATGTCAGACGGAGCGAGCACACGGCTCACAGAGAAGCGCTGGTCAGTGCCAGCGTGTGCGTCAGTGAGTGACCGTTGCGTAGTTTAAGCCTTTGAAGAAGCGTGGCGCTCTGCATTAATCTGTCAGGATCACAGCCCAGCAAACGCCTCTCCCACTGCTGCTGCTCCACATAACCAGGCCGGCGGAAAGCCCAGACGAGGCAGGCGTTCTCCCCAAAAACGTCGCCCAAAACTGGGGCACGTCGGGCTTTCGTGTATTTCTGGCTACGTCCGATGCCCCAATGGAAATTCAGGGGCAATCGGTACCCTATTCTGGATCGGAAAGGGGCTTCGTTTCAAGAGATTTGTACTCTTGGGCCAGAAAAAGAAGAGTGCAACGGTCAAAAGTTTTTTTTTGTGTTGTCTATCAGTACCTCAGGCTTTACAAATGACTTCCCAGACTCACTCTCTGTAGGATTCAGAATGTCTCCTCACCTGTGAAACAGTGACTTCCAGTCTCATCCCCTAACAACAACAAAAAAAAAAAGAAAAACCTGCCGTCAGCTGTGAATATGCAGAGCCACAGTGTTCCCTCTGATGTCTGCTGGAGCTGCTTACCGACTCACTTACATAACCCAGAGATGAATAGAGGAAGGAGTTCAAAGATGCTCCCTATGGATTTTTTTGTGTGTCATCATCACATGCTTCTGCGTACTTACAGCCAGCTCTGGGAACAGGCCCTGAACAAATCTGCACACGTAAAAATGGCAGTTTTTTTTACATAGCTGGGAAAGAAAAAAAAAAAGTGTAAAACCATCCGAAAGGTTTGTTGTCTGGTTCAAGTACAAAAAAAAAAACTCCTTCTGAATGGTCAGATTTACGTAACTGTATTAAAGCATTGTGTGGCACGATTTCAACCAATTCCACAGCAGCTGGCCAGATTCAGACTAATCTGCTCTCGCCTAAAAAGGGGCGGAGGGGAGATAAAGCCCGCGGACACGCGGACGCCTGGACGGCAGCCTGACCGGCAGCCTGACCGGGCGGGCCGCGGGGGTCTGGAGGACTACCGGACGTCCACTAAGGTGATGTTATCCCCCCCCAGCCCACTGTGTCAGAGCTACACCGTCCACTCATCTCAGCAGCCCTACCTCACCCTCCCTGTGACCTCACTTTAAAAGAAGATGGAATCAACGATTTCTGATAGAGAATGGATCAGATTAAGAGTTTAAGGTACATATTTTAGTCGAGTATTTCAATAAGATTCACAGGAGGCCATCAGTGCTGCTAATCTCCCGTTTGTTTTTTTAAAAAACAATGTTGTCTGGGTCTAAGTTTTGGACTAAAACTGGGGCTGAGGAATCGTCGTTGTCATCCGGTATATTTGCATGCCGACGTTTGAAAGGCAAATCTAGAATAAGAAGCGATGAGAGATCCTGAGCGGGGGCTAGAACCCGTCTCTTTGTCCAGGTTTGTTACAGGCAGCGTCTGAGACTTGGGCCCTTAAAGCCTCAGGCCCCTTTTGGACATGCCTAGTAGAAGCTGGAGCTCATCAGCCCCCCGGCTTTTTTCCCCTGCGTGCGTGGGCGTGTGTGTGTGTATGTGTGTGTGTGTGCTTTTGTGCCGCTGCCTGATCAGACACAAACCACAACAATCTCAGATTAACATTAATGCAGGGCTTTGCCGTGAAATCTGACAAATCACACAGCGATTTGGATTAGGAGCTAAACCCACATTTGGTGGGGTGCGTTTCCAAGCTAGCTCATCTTCCTGACCCGGTGTCGATTGTGGTTATTAGTGACTTCACGATCCCACCCCCCCAGAGTCCCCTCAGCTGGCGGGGGGCTAAACATCACACAGAGATGAGTGGCAAAGGGGGAGAGGCCTGGAGGTCCAGGGGGGTTGGACCAACCCCTACGCAGTCTGAAAGAGACAGGCTGAAAGGTGCTGGACATGATGTGAGTTCCTTATTTTTTCAGGTGCATCAGACTCACCAGAGAAGCATTCACACAGAGGCTTACTAAAGCACCAGCCAGGAGAAATACACAGTGGAAAAACTCTACTTTGTACTTCTGAGGCTGACATATAATATCGAGGACACCCGTTATTTGCATTTTCTTGGTTTTCCTGATTACTGAATTTTTGTTCCGATAAGAATAATATTTAAAAATATTAGTTATTTTGTGGAAAAAAGCAACACTTTCACCACTTGTCGATAACCACAATAGAAAAAAGATGATTGCATAAATCATAGCATGGTTGTCTCACCATAGAAAACAATTACACGTTTGAAGGTGCCAGGAAGTATTTCCACCACACACACCTGGTCAGCGTGGAAGTGGCACTGAGGTCAGTCCCGTGAGTCGTGCGCCCACGACAACAGTGGAGAGATAAAGTGGACGCAACACCACTCCAATATTTTAAACTTAACGTCTATTGATACACCAGAGGGATGAACTTACCAGTAAGGTGTTCTCTCTTGTTATTCTTCGTGGAGGCGCGTCTATGACCGCTGCTCTGTGCGGTATGCGTCCAGCTCCATGTGTGCGCGCCAGGTCCGAGGGATGCGTAACCTCCTCCTCTTCCTCCTCCTCCGCTATCTCTTGTTTTTTCTTCTCTCTCTCTCGCGCAGTTTACACGCGCGCCTCCCCTCTTCCTGCCCGCGTCCAGATGTGTCACGCCGCTGACCGCGCACCGATTACGGCCAGAGCGGCCAGCGCCGGCCGGTAATCCAGATTAAGAGTGGCCGCGGCCCCCAACGGACGCGCACACGCGAAAAAATAAACGCACGCGATGCCGACGCGTGGGGGGGGAACTGCGCGCGCTCAGCCCGAGGGCTGAACCGCCACGTGATGGAGCATCCTCACCAAAAAAGACCCACCCGAGGTTGGTGGAACCGGGGTCTCCGTGCTCCTACCGGGCACGCACGCGCGCACGCACGCAGGAAAGACGAGGATGCACCTTCTGAATGCCCCCCCCCCCCCCCCCCCC